ATTTGCAAACACAATGCTCGCATGATAGGTTTCAAAAGAATCACATGCGTCGAAGCAAGTTTGCACGGCTGAAAAGAGGGTCGCAGCCGCCCGACAATTGCAAACAGAGTGCTCGCGTGGTGGGTTTCAAAGAGACTGCTTTGAAGCAAGCTTGCACGGCTCGAAACGTGGAGGGTTTGGAGGGGTGCAGCCCCCCGCCAGTTGCAAACCCAATGATCGCATCATGGGTTTCGACAAGACTCATATGCTCTTCAGCAAGCTTGCACGGCTTGCCCCCCCGAACTGTCTTTCTTCACGTTCTTTAAACTATAGTGTCTTTATGTGTCTTTGTGTCTTTCTCTCTTTATTCCTTTCAGTTCTTTCCCATACCTTCTCCTTCAGTTCCCATGAAAATGAAGATAAGATAATCGTGTTCCTACTAGACACCGGTTATTTAAGCGAAGGCAAGCAAGTCAACGTTTGCACGGAACATGTACTTGGACGTGTGTATGCATAACTGAATCTGAATATAGTAGATCGTCGCGTCGAAGCGGCAGATTTCGCGACGATTTATAGCTGATTAAGCAAATTTTGTTTCTGAGCCCGGGATAAGTGATTAAAAGAAAAGATGTATTGGCTGGTAATAATAATTACAAATGTTGCGCGAGCCATTACTAATATTATTCATATTATATTATTGGTAATATTAATGGTATTAGTCGCATTAGTATTATTAAGGATATTACTATAATAACTAGTACTACGATTATTACTCTTATTACCATTATATCTATTGTTACCGGTATGACCACTGTTAATGGAATCATTATTCTTCTGAGTGTAGTTATTATCACTACAATTACTGCTACCATCCATTACTAGTACTACTATATTATTGCTATCATCACTACTATTGTGACTATTACTACTACAATTACTGGTGCTACTATTGTTGCTAATGTTTCTATTGTTACAAATATTACAAAATACAATTACTACTATTCATACTGTCATTACTTACTATTATTACCATTATTACTATTATTACAACTATTATTATTACTCTTCGGGCGCGTTGTTTCTGTTGCTGTTGTTCCCAGACCTGTCGTTGTGGGGGAGCTTGTTTGCTTTTAATTGTTGCTGTCCTTGCGGGGGCGCGTTGTTTGTCTTTCTGTTGCTGTCGTCCCCGGGGCTTTGTTTTTTGCTGTTGTTGCTGGCGCGCGTTTTTTTTTGCTGTCGTTGCGGTGGCGTTTGTTTTTGCTGTCGTTGCGGGTCCGCCTCTGTCTTTGCTATCGTTGCGGCCACGTTGTTGTTTACTGTCGTTGCGGGGACGCTGTTGTTTGCTGTCGGCGTTTTTTTTGTTTGCTGTCGTGCCGGGGGCCCGGGCTCACTCACTCACTGGTTTCCTGGGTTCGCGCACAGACAACGAAAACCAACATAAAGCAACTACAGCAAAAAAACACAAATATGGGCTCCCCTTAAATGCTTGGAAGGCGATCAAAGGCCCATGTGATTTGACACTCCAAGTCAAGAGGCCCTCTCCCTGCAACAGCAGCAATGAAGCTGCACCTGTCCCATGCCAACCTCGGATCACTGAACACCAGACAACTCCACGAGATGGCTCGCCTCGATCAGACGAATTCTTGCAGCAGAGGTGCGGAGCTCACTGGGAAGTTTCGGGCTGCATGGGTTCGAGCCATCGCAGCAGCACGGCTTCAATTTTCCTTACCCTCTCCGCTTCCTCTAGAATTTCAGTTTCTCTACAGCAGAGATTGTCCGTGACCTTTCAGCGACCAGGTCGGCACTTACAGGCAGGGCAACTCAAGGTGGAGCTCAAGTCATTCGTGCTGCTGCAATGCACCAAGCCCCAAATCCGTGCCACCAGGCTGCGTCTATGAAGGGCTCAAAGTCCTCTCTGTGGGCCTCCATGAAGTCTACACAGCGCTCGCGCATCTGCGCCTCGGAAAACCCGTGCATGGGACACAGTGCAGCTGTGCGCAGTTCGAAAGCGCCTCGGCAACGTAAGCGAAAGCTATGCACTGTTTCCACTCCTGCATCTTCGCTTTAAGTTCAGATGCCGCGAAATGGAGAGGACCGCCCACACAAATACTTACACACTGCTGAAAATTCAAAGACTCCTGTCAAAGAGGGTGTTGATTTTGTCACCTTCTATATGGACCGCTCTGAGGCAATCGAGCTGCATAAGCGTCAGGTTCGTCTGTAACCAACTGGTCAGCAAACCTCGACTCAAGGGTTTGCATCAGACTTACGTAGCCACAACAGGTGACGCCGTTTTTGACTGGTGCAAGAACGAGTAACGCTCGAAACAAGCACGCGCCGTCCCCTTCGACTTCTTTGACCCAGAGCCCACAGCTCTTGAGAAGGTCTTGGTCCTGCAGGCGACAGACATGATTGGTTGCGAGCTCTGATGCCAAGCACAACACTTTCTTCATCCATGGCCGAATAATCTCACATAGGCCAGCAACCACACATCGACCAGCACACAGCAGCGTTTCGGCCGAGAAGATCGGAAGCCAAATGAGTTAAATGTGCTGAGTTCACGTCCTTCTTAAGCTCTCTCGCCCACCCTTCCGTGCTGGAGCTGGGCGCTGTGAAGGCACCTCGGCTTCACACGGGACATGCATGAAACACGCCTGCTTGGCTCAGCTGCCACACATGCTGGAAGACAATACTGAAAGGCGGTCCGGAGCATCATAAGAGCTGCCCAGACACTACCACTCATGGGCCTGGCCACCCGATGACTTACCCGTGGCAGGATGCATCACTATCCCCATGTTTCAGCATCAACCGGGTGCTGGCTGCTTCCTCGTGTTGCCTTCTTAGGCCTTAAGCCTCTGGAGCCTGGGCTTTGCTCTGCGCCTCAGCGCGGCCGCAGGGCCCTTCGGCACCGTAGGCCCGGCAGCTTTGAAGGCGGGATTGAAGTTCATGGGCCTCAGGCTCGGGAACTCTCAGTCCTTAGAACCCTGTGACGCGGGGTCTCTCACTTCAGGCAGCTGAGCGTCTTGATTTTCTTCTTGGCCTTGCCTGAAGCCGCGGCAGCTCGATGCCAAAGTACTTAAGGCTCGCAACACGAAACGAGCCTCTGAAGAGAGAGTCCAACGATGGAGCTGACCCGCCATACCCACCGTCGGCCATCCGCAAAGCGCCAGCGAGAGATCTGCCAAGAGGGCACAAAATCGACTACTCCAGAGGACATCCTGGAGAGACACGACTGGACAAAGCTCTTGGGAGCATCCCAGGACATCAAGTTTGGATTCCGCAGGTTTAGATTGAACCCTTTTGCTGAGTCGGCAGTGGCAGCACTCGGGGCCGCTGGAATGCTAGGAGGCCAATGGATGCTAATGGCAAACCACTCGATTGTAACCTTCCAGGGCTTCACCGCGGGGCTCTAAATTCACTCTCTGTTCTTGGCCCATGGCCCCGGGCCCCGAATTACTTGCCCAGTGCAGTTGATGTTGGTTTACACAAAAGCTGAACTTCTGGATTGTTCCACAAGTGCTGGTGGACTGCCACTCGCCCGGCCTGTGTGAGACGTGCCCCCTACCTAGAAAACCGGCTACCGAAGCGGCGCGCAACCCGCATCAAGAAACTAAATTGGGCTTGAGAACTCTCGGGCTGCGGAATGGACGCCTCGTCGGACAAAGCATCGACCGAAGGGATAAGCTCCACAAGTGCTCAGCTTGACTGTTTAACTTTTAAAGTTTACAGGTAAACATGATCTTGCATCAACACCGTCGGGTCGAGTGTGCTGCCCTGCTTGCAGCCGTACGATGTCGGAGCCCAAGGGCCCTTTGCCTGCAGCGGGGGATATGATACTTGACAAGGCCGATCAACGAAGGAGCTTCCTGAAGGTACAACTGTCGAAGCGTCTGCCTCGTCCAGGAAGGGGCTGAACCTGACTGAATTAATATGCATTGATCCACTACGACGACAGATCTAAGAGCAGCGACCTTGCACTTCAAATCCACATCAGCAGAAACGCTACTTTTCGGCCGGCATGTCCGCTCTGCACTGCATCTCAACCGCTCTCTGGCCGCCCTCCTCCTGCGTCAAGAAGCATTCCTCGGATGGGGCCCCACCACGAAGTGCGAAATCACTCAGACGCCTGTCGCGGAAGCTGACGCCTGCTGCCTCTTCGTAGTCCGAAAGGGATCGGGAACTTCCGAACTCGAAGGCCTCAAGGCTGCCTTCTCTAGAGCCTGGCAGTGGCCATCTTCGGGCTTCCTCGAAGAACAGGGGCGGCCCGGAGCCTAACAACGCGTGCAAGCGCTTCCTAGAGCCGTGGCAGAGATCGCGATACAATTCTCGCATATCGTCGGCATAGACTCTCCGGTAATCTCGTTGCCAGAGGTGGTATACAAGGCCGGAGCACGGCGAGAAGAGATCCCAGCCATGCGTAAACAGCCGCACGGTCATCAGGATTTCTTCACCAAAGAAAAGCATAAGCAGTCGCGGGTCATAGGGAACCTCCCGCAAGATGTCAGCAGAAGAGAACGAGAAGTGGGCGCTCCAGAAGAAGCTTGCTCGCGGCTCATCCCAGTCAGACACAAGTGATCGGTAGCGGATATTCAGGATGTTGTTGCCGTCGAAAAAGCCAGCACAGTTCAAACATGCCGTTAAGTTCTGAGGAATTTCCGTGTAAGGCATTCCGAGAGGGTAAGCTCTGCCATAACTGCACAAGACGGGCTTCTTGGAGTATTTTGAGCACATCTTCAACTGCGAGCGGGCCTTGTCATCCCAGGCCGGCACGAATCGCATGTGGCTGTCGAGCTGTAAGTAGAGCTCCTCTCCTTCCCACAAGAGTTGAGCAAGATACCTGGCCCAGCATGGGCCCCTCGCCTCTTTAGCTTCCATGCAGATCACTCGGAGCCGTCCGCCTAGCCGGCTTTCTGCTCTCAACTTGGGATTGCCGGGAAGGCCTGGAATCCGGATCTCGCTTCGTTCCGAGCCATCGATGTTCCAGAGCTTCTGCAAAGCGGCCAGAGCTTCGCTGGTCACAGGCTCGCCATCCTCCCGATCACCTTGCCACACCAGGCCCACATAGACCAACTCCGGCTTCTTGCAATGGTACAACATCGACTTCAAGGTCTCTGTCAGTTCTGGGTCGCGGTAGGCGACAATGGACACGAAGATTCGGCCACACGCAGTTGCATCCGATGCGGGGAATGCGGGGAGGGGCCGGTTCCGCCCAAAGCCGCTTTCCAGTCTTCGAGTCTTCCAAGCAGACTTGAAGCATGAGCAGCATGCGGCATCGCAAAACTTGGAAGGTCTACATCGCGAGCATCGGGACGCGGGTGCAGCTGCCTGCCGGAAGCCGCCACTGAAACCGAAAGGCTCAGGGTCTGAAGCACGCGTGCGCATGAGCAGGACGGGTTACATGGCCAACGCTTCACTTCTCCGAGGTCTACTCAGTCTGCACAGTAGTCGCAATGCTTCTTTCGAGAAGGTTCTTTTGCAACCTATGCTCAACAATATTCCTCTTCTGCATGTCCTATGACCTGTGCCGGGTCAAAGCTGCGGTGCTGCGACATGATGCCATGTTTACCATCGTCCGCGAGGCTCTGCCGGTTGAGTATCAGAGCGTCAGAGGGAAGTGTCTCTCCTGCCGTCGACTCCCGTGGGCTAAGGCCACGTCGATGATGGTCGCGGGGCGGCCTGCTTCCACAACCTCGACAAAGGTTTCTTGCCCATGCTTCGCCAGTTGAACAAATCCCCAGGCCACCGGACAGCCACGAGACGCGACTGCACGGCAACAGCCAGCAGCTGACCAGACCTCGGGGTCGAGTCGTTCGTCGCTGGATCAGCTGAATGCGAGCGTGGCTGAGCAGGAGGCACTGGTAGAGGCCATCTCTCCAGATGCAGACCTGTGGCCAACACATGGATCCGCACTCCACACATCTGTCAGTCAGTGCACCGCATTGCACCGCACGGTGCCTGGAGGCAGGGCAAGCACGCCTCGGCCGGCCTCGTGGCACAGAAGCTTCACATGCTCATCGCGACTGCACAAGCAGAGGCATACAGAGGCAAATTTCCACTGGCGGAGCCCCGCCTTCGAAGCGCGCCCTGAAAGAAATAGCAGGTGCACGGGTGCGCTCGTGACTCGTGTGCAGATAATGCCTGTCCTAGACTCCTAGAGTAACAAACTGTCACAGCAAGACAACACGGCTCCACCAGTGACTCCGAGCCGATCTGTCTACGATCTCTCTTCCTCGCCTTCCTCTGTCAAGTCCCACACGGAACTCATCGCGCCTTTGAGTGGCAAAAAAACAGGCCCTACCGTGACAGACTGCACGAAGAATGAGCCATGGTACAGGCCCCGTTCTTGAATCGCAGTGTTTGCATGGCCTGTACCTATACGGCTATCATTATGCGCCTTTGCAGGGTGGCTGGGTGGCCAGTGAACAGTGAGCCTATGAGGAAGTCTACAGTCTGCTACCAGGAAAAGGAAAAGACTTACAAGTTGAAAGTGCCTCACAGCTGAGGACCCCGCAGCCACCTCGCACAGTGACGACCGCACCCCATTGTCACTGCAAGGCGCGCTTGATACAGCCTGATGTCTACTTGCTGACGACTGAAGGCTAGCCAGGATTTTGGGTGGAGCTGCAATTGGCTGTGCTGCTGCATTTGCACGACTCTTGTCTTTGAGCAAGTGGCACCAAGAAACGCCATGCAAACCTTCTATGAAGGATGGTAAGAGGCAAGGGAGACAAAGACACCAAGAGAGAAAGAGGGAGCGAGATTGTCTGACCGACGAAATTAACGCAGCAAGAGACACTGCAACTAAAATCCAGAACTAGAAGTATGTAAGGCGATCTGTTGGTCTATGGCTGCGAAAGGAAAGCGCAAAATGCTCGAGCTCGAAAAATGCTGCATGCTCGCGAGGCGAGCTTCGTCGTCTTTTCTTCTGGTTGCTGCGCATTCCGACCCCTGAGCGCGGCTTATTCCCCGATACAGGCCAAGGATCGCACGGGTGCATGTTTAAAACTGAATGCTGTAGAGCTCTCAAACATGACATTGCCAGACTTTGGTCGGTCCACGGATCCTTGGGTTCCACTGTGCCTGCCGCTTGGCTGCAAGACGGCAGTGCCCCAGTTTAGTGGGACTGCTGGAACCCTGCAGTCCATGCCTGGTGAGAAGTTGAGCCGTAATCAACTTGCTTGAAGGAGAACTAGGCTAGGCCCCTAGGCGCTTAGACAAACCATGTTTCATCACTGGGAAAGCGCAGTGGTTCCAGTCATCATCATCTCACAAGATCAACTTCTGGCCTTGCCCCAAAGACACCAAGAGTATCCAAAGAATGCGCCTGGCAATCTGCAACAGCGTGACAACTTCCCAACAACCGGATCTCAAACCAAGGGACCACGTCGGAGCGGCAGACTAAGGCTGTGACAGGCGGCGAGGCTCCAGGCCTTTGGCAGAGCCTGAGAAACAAACATCCCAAGGTTTGACATGGCACCGGCAACACTGTTCTTTTGGGCAACCAATCTTGTCACTGCTTTGCGGCGATTTCTCCATGATTGCATTTGCGTCGATTTCCCGCCGAACCTTCGCTTCAGCGCGACCTCACAACTCCTGTTATCTGCTGCTGGCCATTCGAACATGCTTGGCAATCTCGGTCGGGTTCCGACGATACATCACCTCAACTGCCCCATCCCGATCTCAGGCGCCGGCGTTTGGAAGCAATCCCCCGATCCCGCGCAAACTTCCAGAAGGACTCCGGCAAGTGGCTGGCATCCTGCAGGATAGCATCGACAAGAGCAAAGTTCCAACGGTTGTCAGTTTTTCGGATGTCTACAGGGCCACCTTGCGACTTGCAAACTGCGGATGCTCCTGAATTCCTGAAGCTGAAGCCACGAAGTCACGGAGACATTCTGATGAAAGTATTCCAGCAAAGGCTTCGACATTTTTGTCACGGATTCTACGAGTAATGCAGAGCACACGACTTGAGTTTGAGCATGGCTTCGAGCTGCGATGCTCGGGAGCTTCAACCTGCACACCCTTTGAACAAAAAGCACTGGTTCATCTGGTTCGACAATCCGGCATACAGGCAGGTCCACAGTCCACAGCCACCCTTCAACCCTAAAGAAATCAGCCCGTTCCCGGGAGGCAAAGCTGAAACCCGGTCCAGGACGCCATCGGAGCCGTCCCAAAGCAAGCAGTACAGCACCGTGCAGGCAGCGCCTTGGAGCAACTCGCCAGAGCTTCGTGTCAACACTCGCGATCGGTCTCCACTGCCCATGAAGCAAAGGCACACTCCACATTGAAAAGCAGGGCTCGGCTGATGAGCATCGTGGCAATGGCAGTAAGGATACCTGCACGGCCATTCCCACACACCAGAGCAACCTTCTGTCCAACTTGATAGCAGAGAGGGCGACGGGTGGGGCAGCAGTGTATTGCAAATGCTGGTGATGCTGGTAAGCGAATGCAACAAAAACAACTATGACTATAACAACTCTGAAAAGTTGGTTTACCCTCCTACAAACTCGTCGATGATTGTGCTCGTCAACAACGAATCGGAAAACTGCCAAGAAGGTGAAACAGTCTTTTGAGCGATGCTGTTGTCTCCAGCTGTGCAGATGTACGCTGCGTGCATGCAGCCGAGAGATGTGGCTCTGCTGACGAGCAGAGCCGCTATCTGATAGCGGTTCTGCTGTCTGTTGTAGTTACCCCTTTCGGGATCCTTAGGGGGGCTCAACTCAAGGCGGGAGGGGCCTCAGATTCGTACCCTGACACGCCAGCAGCCGCCAAGTCAAGTGGAAAAGACCCAAGGTGCTGATGCGATAATCCGACAACCACACAAACACACACACACACACATACACAAACACAAACAAACACACAAAGACCTTCACTCCATCACAAGTGCGACCCAGTTTCCCAGCAGCTCCGGGCTCACGGCCTTTCAGAGGAGGGCTGTGGGACTATACAGCTCGTGGCCCCGCGAGCGGTCTGCAACGGAGCTGCGTTCTGCGATGCAGCACAACCCTCGAAACAAATAGCACCATTCAGATCAGGATTGAGGAAAACCTCTGCCGCAGCTGCTGTGCATCGTGTTTCGGCATCTTCGAGATCCCGCCTGCACCTCCTCGTAGAGCACGGAAAGTTGCGAAGCCACAAACGGGAAGCCTGACACCTCGAAAGCCCGCGTGTTTTCTAGAAGGTTGTGCACCCATGTGATCGCCTCCCCCCACATCCTGCAGTTCGGAGTGAAAGTTGTGAGACTGCGTCGTCTTTGCACTTCTAGGCGGATGGGAACATGACACGGACGAGCCTGCAACTGGAAGCGCGCTTCGGACAACATGGGTTCCCACTCCAAATGCCTGTCCGACGGGTTGCTGGGGCTGTGAATGCCAACTGAATGCCACTCGTCACCCTTCCATGATGCATGTCCCTGGTCACAACTGCAACGCAACAAGCTCGGCATGTCTTGCAACATGCAAAGTTCAATGCTGCAGCGCAACTGACGGCCTTGCTACGGCAGTCCTGGCTGCAATGGCCGCAGCTGCAGCAAGGCCGCAACTCCCCGCTAAACGCCTTCGGCGGGATTCGGCTTCCGAATACGAAATCGATCAAGTGCACGTGGCGGCTTGCTTGCAGTTTCTACCAAACACAATTTCACTACGATTGCCACATGATCAGCTTCTGGAGGACGTGTCTCTGGCACTGGGCTCGGGCACGGGCTGCGATTCAAGGCGAAACGGGGTCTTTGCAGATTATACGTCCTTGCTTTGAGTCGTCTTAGCTGCCAAGCATCAAGAAGGCTGCCACCAGGGAGAGTGTGGACACGACGCCGGCATGGCTCCGGAGCAGCTTGGAGGCCTCGCAACACCGAGCCGGCTGGGAAACACACGACCAGCCTGGAGCAAACTGAACACGACCAGCAAACGTCCTTTGAAGCAGCCGCGGAATAGGAAGAGGAGCTCAGCGCAATGTCTACCTAAGCCGTGACGAAAAACCGCACACGGGTCCGACTCACCGCTTTCAAAGAATGAAAAGCAATTTCAAAGTGCGTGCCAGGCACGTAGGCGTGGCTGCTGAGAAACTCCGTCCACGCTTGTAGTGCCGCCATGATTGAGTCGCATGCAACCTTATAAATGACACATGACTCTGGCCAGACCACAGTCGACCTCGTCTTCGCCAGGCCTACCACGGACATTGTTCGGAGCTAAGCCTGCAGCTGTGATGCAAGCGCCGCAACCTCGTGATTTCCGCTTGCTCTTCTCACCCTCCTGATGGGAGGGTGCGAGTTGCTGCTGACATGAGACACGACTTCAGGAGGATGGTGGTGTGCGCAGCCTGCTATGAGCCGGCACTGAGCTACTGAGCTTTTGGATCCTCCTGGCGCGCGAAGGCAAGGTGAAGGGCCCAAAGCGCCCACCGCAGAAAGCCTCTGTACTGAGCAGGCATTCACAAAACCAAGATCTAAAGTGCGAAACTTGTGCGAGCAATGTCGTTCTGCGGGCAACAGCCCTTGAAAAGTTCTTCAACGGTAATGCTAATTTGATTCATGCGTCGGAGCAGTGCAACTGCGAAGGCCCCACGAGCGACGGAACCCAAGTGGCACGTGAGAGCCACCAGAAGTCCTGCAATGCTTCTTGGCCCCGCGTGGCTGCATGACCCATGTCTTGAAGGCGCTTGAAGGCGCTGGCTAGGGAACTGCGAACATGCTGATACTGGGTTCACCCTTCTGCACAGCTCTCACGCAGTAAACCTTTCTTGACAGCGCCCTTCTCTTACCCCTAGCGGAAACACGGCAGAGGGTCCCTGCACGGCAGGAGCCACCGGCAAGTGTCGAACTTTCTGCCAAATGTTGGTGCCCGGAGCCTGACAAGACAAACCGATGAGACACGCGGAGCAACTAACACGATAACAGAAGTCATCCACCGTGCAGCCGGAAGTCAAAGTACCATGCCGCCACCGAATGTGCCGTCGCAAACAAACATGCTGCTGCCACCAACTCCTCCCGGAATCAACACTGCAGATGGATTACATTGGGGGGGGGGGGTGCCGAAGGCATCTGCAGCCTTATGAGTCTTATGAGAGCATTCAGTCTCAGATCTTACCGAAGTTCCGAAGGAGCACTCACGACTTTCTCCCCAAGCTCATGCTGAAGAATGCATCGCTTTTGCTATAGTAGTATCAAGTAGATACAAATCGCATGCTGCATGCTCGTGAAACTTCGGCACCTCACGCCTGTCGATATTGGGAGATCTTGTCGTTAAGCAGATTCGTGAGGTCATGCTGAAACTAGGACAGGACGCACTGCCGGCACTTTCTGGATACTACATAAACCCCCAAGCGAAGAAGTAAAGTGCTTATGCACGATCCTTAAGATTTCCGAGGCACACATGGAAGGCCGGTCCTGAACCCAAAAGCAGGATAAAACCAGGGCTGCAATGTGGACATAATCCACGACTGCTAAATGAAGTTGGCGAAAAACTCCTGCACAGCAGCAGCGTAAGCTGCGATAGGTCATACTCAGCATCCGGTTTTCGTGCTGAACCAAACGGATCGCGATGTACATGTGCGAGCATGGGTTCCTGAAATGCCGAACATAGTGATGCCACTAACACTCGCGCTGGACAGAAGAGCCGGAAGCCCAGCCAGCAACACAATCCACATCCTCAGCAGGTCGAGGGATCTGGCTGCCGAGGCAGTCGAAAAGAATCCGCCATGCATCCATGCCCCACAAGATGAACCCAAGGCACACTTGGCACACCAATGCATCCAGCACCGGCAGTAGTAGCAAAGAAGGCATTCCCATCACAACCTGGTTGAGATTGTTGTCTGGTGTGTGCCCGTTTGAGTCGCTAAAGCACAACGAGACTCAGGGCCGATCGGCGCAGGATTCCCGCATGCAGTCTGCTGACACCTCGAGGCTCGTTCTCGCGGAGATGCAACCTGAAGCACCCACATAGGTTAAGGCCCAGATATACTTCTGCATGTGGTCCTGCTTAAGATGCTCTCCCCCAGTGCCAAGGAGAAATACGTTGAGGGATGTGCCGAAGCACAAAAAAGGCATCAAATGTCATAGTTCGTTTCTGGGAAAGGATGGGCGATACGAGGACGTAACTTAAGAGATTTTAGGGATCAACTCATCCTAGAACAACAACTGGATGCCGGCTGACTCCCAAATGTTTCCAAGTCGCTCATGAGAAGCAGAACAGCTCCAAGGATCAGTCCCGAAATTAGAACTCCAGCAAGGATCGGCATCTCGCCTAGGTGTGATCTGTACACCGGCGTGCAGCTGGCTGCTCGAAACAAAACCAGCACATCGTCGTCTCGCAGTACCGGTTGATGAGAGCAACACTGTCCGTGCTGGGAAGCAGCTTTTCGGTTAAGCACAGCAAAGCGTCCCAATGGAAGTGTATAGGCCATGTTGAGTTCCACGAGACCGCCAGTTGCAAGCGACATGGATGTCGCTACCAACGGCAAGAGTCCTGCAAAAGACAGCGGAGAGCGAAGGAGATCCAGAAGCACCCTGTCAGGACCCAGATCGCCTGGTACAGCATCTGGATTCGCCACGGCTATCAGGACGAGAGCTGCAACAAAACAAAGCAGGCTGGAACCCAGCAGTGCCAATCTCAAGAGAAGAAGTGCCTAAGCTGATGCCGAAATTGGCTCAGACGGACGGACCCAAAGGCGTGGCTTCAGCAAGATATGCAGGCAGTGCAGCTTCGCCACGAAAAAGCGAAGGCACAGGAGATAAAGCAGGCTCACAAAGAGCGCCCAAGCCCCAGCGATAGCAAGCAGCCGAGGAGTGGAAGGGAGGCTTCGAAGGTGCTCGTAGCATCCCACAAGCCGGTCCATGGGAACACCTTGAGTTCTCAATAGCACAGCCGCGGCCAGGGCTTGCGTAAACTGCCTCTGTTAAGTGCCCATTCCTGGGTCATAGGGCTGCCGACAAAAGCTTTTCACTTTGCTGCCCGCGCCTGGGCCAACAGCTCCCATTAGTGATTGTTTGGATGCTAAAGCATCGCCGAGAGCACGCGCTGGAACACAGTAGCGGTCCACCCAAGGCTTCGTCTCCACTGTGACCTGCAGTGGCTGCACGAGATAAAATGAAAAAGTCAGCGATGTCAGCGCATGATTTGCGCGCGGTAGGGAGTCAAGATTGAACCGCAGCAAACCGCTGAAAGGACGGGCCACATGTGCTTCTGAACAATCGAGCCTGCTGAGGAGACAGGAACTGCTTCTCGGTGCGAACCAGGAGAACACGTCCACCTAGTGCAAGGACAGTTGCAAATGGCACATCTGGCAAGCTTGGTCCAACGAGAAAGCTCCAAGCACAGACTTGCAGCTATAATGCTGCCAAGCTCTTGAAAAGGAAACGGCAATCCAAATTTGAACGAGAAGCCTTCCTGTGGCTCCTCCACCTCCGTGGCTTGCCGGTCTTCTGGGCATAGCGCATGCTCACCGAGATCCGGACAGCGGCCCACCTGTCACACGGTGGCAACGTCACAAGACACAATAACCCTGAACCACACACAGAGACACAAACTGCAGCAGAGTTCGATATTTGGCTTCAGAGACCAGGCACGCAAATCGGGGATGACAGGTTCAGAATCCAGCCATGCTGCATCCTCACAGGGCTAACTGTGTATTTTAGGGTGGTGCCGAGCTGAACAGAAACGCAGCTTGCTTTTTTCTGCCAAAATCGTCACAGCTTGTCCTTGCAGTGCACCAGTGTAGGAGGCCCAGGTCTTCAGTACCTGCCATGCCAGCCTACGCCTTATGATGCCTTATGATAATGTGTCTCGAAAAAGCTTGGCGCAGCTGTGTCCAAGCGCGGTCGGTCCACCAGCACTCCAGCCACAAACACGACCGCGATGGTCTATGCCCCGAGTGAGTCGCTGGAGGTCCTGCATACTGCGATATGCTGCGACTCTGTGCCGTGACCGGCCGGCAACACGAGCGCGAAGCTTGACAAGCACAGAGCTGAGACTTCCGGAAGCCCAGGTCCCGATTCTGGACAGCACGCAAACCTGGAGGGAGCAAAAGGGGGACAGTGGTGCGCGACACTCCAAGCTGGACTATGTGCATCACTCACATCGTACATCGAGGATTTGGTCGTGAACATGAAAGTACACTGCCCGCAGTGGAGCTGATGAAGTAATATCGGCGAAGCGGCTCGCAGCCATAGCAGCCATGCACAGCACGAACGCAAGGCCACAGCAGGGATCTGTGCCTGAAGCTGCGCGTGTTCTAGCATTGTCCTCTCAATAACGCACGTTTCGCCGACGTCATGTTTCTGTACCGCTCTCGGTTCATTCAAGCAACAGCGTCTGCGCGCAATGCCATCGGTTCTCTCGGAGACCTGGACCGGAGCTCTCCAGACTCTCGAGACGGCAACTTGCAGGCTTGAAACTAACAAGAGTACTACGGTTGCTACGGCGGCTCACACCTGTCGCCGCGAGTGTTGCTCAACAGTGCGAGGACGCGGAGGTGGAGTCAGCACACGCTGCCTGCTGCAGAGTTTGAGGCTGCACCATCGGACGGCAAAGCTTGAGTGGAGAAAGGCATCTTTGATCAATGCTGGCCTGGCACCTGCCATCGCACCGGCTGTGCTGATTACGAAGATGAGGTTCGAGATGCTCTAGACTCTAGATCCAAAAGAAATGATTATCACCTGAGCCTTGCCACATGCTGATGTATTCTTGCACGAGTTCTTGCAAGCTCTAGCAGTGTTAGGTAGCAGCCATTAGCAGTGGACGCACTGACGTTGACCATACGTGTGCTGACAATCTACGGAACGGCAGCAAAACTTTCGCAATCCACCCGCTCGTGTTGCTGAGAATGGGTGACCAGGAACTTCGACAGCATACCGCGACAAGGGGCAGTCGCTTCTTTTCCCACAGTGGAGAAAGCGCTTCAGAAAAATTTCGTCTCGGAACCAGTCACCGGCCAAGGCTGAGTCGCTACACTGGCCCGCTCATCCAGACTAGCCAGCTTCAGATGGTCATCATGTTTTGAGGCAAACATCAAATGCGATCTGTGGGTGCTTGAGGAGGAAGGGTCTGGAGGAAAAGCACTCGGCATGTGCATTCGAGGTACTTCCTGTAAGTGTTGAAAAAACAAAGATACTACCGAATCTAGCGAATAGCCTGCTCCGGCTTCCCAACCCCGACTCGAAGAACCTAGAGGCTCCTCCAACCGCTGTTCTCACCCGTTCAAAAACGTTTCACAACGAGCTTCTCCCAGCTTCGCCCCTCACGTTCATGTTAGCTTTGGGCTCTCTTTTCTCAAGTACAATTGCGTCAAGCTCACCTGCCAACCTTGCGGACTTAGACAACGTTAAAATCAGTGACGCTCCGGGCTGCGGCCGCTCCGCGTGTCCTTGCCCCGAGCTGCAGGGTCTCAGAATCTAAGTCAGCAGCAGACGACTTCAGGCGCTTACCCTTGGGCTGCTCATGCCCGCACCAGGCCTTAGTCAGACTGCAAGCCCAAGTCTTTGCAGAAGCCTTGGTCTTGGTGTCGTCTTGCCATCTCTAACTTGAAAGAGTCCTCATTCGAGTGCCATTACCCGAGCCAGGATGCCTTTGAGTCGGCGCTCGCAGCGCTCCTCAACGGACGCAGGGAGCACACGTTTGCAACACCTCGACCCCTCAAACGCTACGACACGTGTAACGCCGGAACGAAACAAAAACAAGAAGCACCCACAGGAGGCGAGCTCTCATGCTCCGAGACTAGCACTGCTTGGCTGCCGTGACTTGTTGTCAAGCCCCGAAACGCAGACGACGCTAAGATGGAGCGAGGTGTTTGGGTGCAACACCTGATGGACAGGGTGTGGTTCATCCTGCTGTTAATGTTGCACCCGGGCACAACCACAGGCTACCACCGAGTAGCACAATGACTTTCCCTCTTCAGTCATGACACAGCGTGGGTGTATAGTGACAAAGTCCGGATTATGGCGCCAACTAGGGTTCGCGTTATCGCACCCACCCCAACAAGGTGTCCTGGAACCTCTGAAAGAGCATTGCTAGCCGAAGTTTGCGCAGACAAACCCAAGCCACTGGAAGCCTAAAACTGAACTGCGCACCTCGTGGCCAAGGATATGAACCCAATTTATGTGGGTCGAACTGAATGGCCAAAACAACAGCAAATGTGCAAGAATCAAACACTCCAAGCCTAAGGAACACTGACCACATCTCTCCCAAACATCCTCCCTGCATGTGCCAGGTGGCCTACCCGGTGCCTATTTCAATTCCGCCTCTCCTTCAAAGCCGGATCGTCCGACTTGTCGAAGTACTTGCGGCACCTTGAGTGATGCAGACTGCTGTGATGCCGGCGTCGTAGCCGTTCGACAATACCACGGCAATCCTCTGAACACCACGCACCGAATCTCAGCCGCGCCACTCATCCACATCGTCCGACGAGCCCAAGATCACCGGCACGCGCTGGTGGACGAATTGCTAAGAGGCGCAAGAAGCTTCATGGAAGGACTCATGGCCAACAGGCTACCTTTCTTTCCCTATTTCGATTCAACATTTGCTGTCAACAGGCTGGTGTGCGTGGGCAGTTCTGTCGGGATAGTTTTCGTACGTGACGAATAGAAGGGGTTTCTTTCAGCTCTCACTTTTCACATATTCTGTCTTTGCCAGCCGGAGCACCGGCGGAATGTCCAAGACCCGGCTGTGTCCTGTGATCGCCTCGAAGGAACCACACAGACTTCGCACATCACAGTCGCATCAGCTGCCCAGCACTGGCCTTGCCACCAGCTTGTTCCATGATGAAGGACATCGGTGCACCTTCGTACAGAAGTCGAAGTTTGCCGTCCTGCCACAAGCTTTTGGCGAAATGTTCGAGACAACCTGCTGTCCTGTGAACAACTTGCCGCGCCACTGGCCTGGTTCTTGTTGTCGGCTGGATATGCGAAGATGCCGCCATAAAGCAGCGTGCGGTGAATATCGCCGACCTTGCGAGCTGAAGGGTTGAAGTGGAGAGAGCTGACGAAGTTCAGTGCGGCTCAAGGGCCATGGAGCCGATGTAGCGAAGGGAATAGGCTTTGCCAGACTCGCCTTCCCAAGATCAGACCGGATCCGAATACAGGCAGAATCTGTTGTAATGCTATGCGATTTGCTCTGAATTCCTCTGTCACTCCAATCAGGAGGGTGGAGCTCTGCTAGAGTGCATTCTGGGAACTCGCACTTTACCAGTGTGGTTGGAGAACGGTGTTTTCAAAAATGTCATGCGCTTCGGGGGTTGATCTGACACCTTGTGTTGCGGCATGCTCGAGCATCTTGCCCACTGCGGAATTACCTGGAAGCCCTGCTGCTTGGTGCAACGTGTTGCGCGACATTCCGCGCCCTTTAGAGTTACAAGGAACGGTGCTTGGCAGTACTTCAGGGAACCGCATCTGCCTTTTGCAGAGTATTTCGCTCTGTTCGGGATTCTCTGCGACTGTGTTAACCGCATTTCGTGCGCATCGGGGTTGCCTGAGCTCTGTGTTTTTCAGCACCTCATGGATTCATAGCGGAATCAGGACTACCGGCTTTTCAGAGGTGGCGAATCGGTTGATTCTTCTCGCACCTTTGCCGTCACGGATGTCCGAGATGTACTGCCTCATTGGCTCGTCCCACTCCTCAGTGCCGGAAGATGAGGGCACGCCCTTGAAGCATTCGTGCTGCTCTGCCGGGTTTCTTTCAAATTACCTGATGGCTGCTAAATTGCAACGCAAAGCCATGCCTCCCAGAAACATAGTGTCTTGGCAGATTGACTTGCTCTCTACTTCCTGGCATGCCCTTGGCACTGTCCTTATCGGCAGGGCCGGACAAGCCAAGCATCTGCGATGTTGGCTTGGTTGCAGGAGTAAATCTTGCCCCTTGCTGGAATCTTGATCCTCAGTGAGCGGGCGGCTATATCTGAGACGTGCATCTTGTCCGTCCCATCGTCCATTAATTATTTGGAGCCGAAAGCTTGCCCAATCTGAGGAAGGCATCGAAGGTCGAGTCATCACGAATTCGCCAATGCCTCACATAACTTGCAGGGCAGACTTGCCTTCCGGTTCTGACGGTTCTGAGTTGTGCCCTCTCTCTATCTCCACACATCACAAGCGCTTTAGACAAAGCCGAGCAGCTGGTATCCAAGGTGAAGCCGACCACGCCATGGCCAAAGGTGAGGACCAGCTCGGTGGAAGCGGAATACAGCACGTAGCCGGCGGCCACCAACGACTGCATCAAGAGTCGCCAGCACATTCTAAGTGACATGAAGACATGTTCAGAGCGAGTGGGCTAGTGACTAGAGGGTTGTACGATGTGCGGTGCGTCACTGGCCTTTCCGGGCTGCAACGTGCCTGCGAGACACCTGCAGTGCCACGACGTTGGGCAGGTTTGATCGAGCTTGCCATGCTGCCGCATGCTCGCTGTATCCGTGCGAATGTGCGAATGCACAGCCCTCCCCGCAGAACTATTCTGTCTTGCGCCTCTGCTGCTCCTCCGTCAGGCCTTTCGAAAGATCTTCGGGCAGCTCACATTCGGCCATGTTCGGCTCCTGGGAGCCGCTTGAGGCAGATTCGAACACTTCCATGCCACGTACCGAGCCTCAAAGACTCCGAAGATGGTTCCAACAGGAATGCCTGCATCCACATTGCCTCGGTGATGCAGGTCGATAGTAGAGACATTGCTTACCGCATTTCCGGGACCAAGCGGCTGCTGCCATCCAAGGGATCAAAAACGCAGATATACTTGCCAGTCTCGGCAAACTCCTGTACACCATCCACATTCAGTGCAAATCAAAGCCATGGAACCCTTGACCTTGCATGCTTTTCACCCCATCCAAGCGCCTCCGACAGCACGGGGATCAAATCGCTCTCGCTCTGTCCCGCCCTTGATCATGGGAATGCCACACAGCAGGGGCCGAACTGTTTTGCGCCGACCCCTCTTACCGTTCAGACAGCTGGCCAAATTATGGAAATTCCGAATGACTGGGACGGAACTCAGCCCTGTGCCAGCCATCCACCGGTTCATCCTCCTCCTCTGATGCGAGTGTTCCCAGCTTTCCTTCACCGGCAGCACACGAAATACCAGAGCAAAAACATCCAGCTTGACCGACCACATACATCCCTACCCGAGTGCCGAGTGACCCGTGTAGCGCAAGGCGTTCTTGAACACATCGTTTGTAATGACCTTGTCACTCATGAATCATGAACGCTCCGAGCACTCGAATTGCACGGCGATTAGCCATGCATGGATCCTCTGCCTCGTTCGCCTATGTGCCGAATCTCAGGCCCTGACATCCAGCTTCTTCTGATCTTCACCCTGTACCTAGGTTCTCTCGGTTCTTGGCATTGGCACCCTCGCCAGGAAATCCTATCGACTGAATTCCGGATGCCCGAATCTCGAACTCATTGTACATGGAATCGTTGTCGAAAGGTGATAAAACTACACATGCCTATGTGAGATGATGAGCTCAGTACATCGTTCGACACAGGCGCGTTCACATGCCCAGCTCCAGCCGTATACCCGCTTCTGCTGATTTCCACTGAGGCGGCAAAGCTTCAATCGCCCCAACGAAGTCATCAGCAACAATCGGGCTGTCACACAGTGACGTGGCAGCAACAGTCTGCGACCAGGAGAACAACTGGAACATGAAGCACGGCCTGTGCATCCGAAATAAACGAACGCATCCAACAAACAGCAATTACACAAAGGATGTCAAATACACATGACATGCACAATCTATGAGGCAAGTTCACCGACTAAAGCCACGCAAGAGCTTGATGCTGTGTTGTGTTACTCGGGCCATGTCGATTTTGACATTTCACGCACGAGCTGGAAGGAGAAACCCGACCGCTATGTCTACTGCATTGATCGCTGATGCACCGTCCATGTCGGTTTGTGTCTCATTTGTGCTGCTGGCAACGGCACACTCTTTTGCCATCTCTGGTTGGGGGAGCCTGGAAGCTGCTCACATTCGGCTTGCCAGATTGCAACACCCAGACAGATAGTCAACCCAGCAGACTTCCCAGAAAGGGCTTGAAGACCAGGGCGAGCAAGTTGTGCCAGGTTGCGTTGATCTCGCCCTGCAGCCCCAACAGTTCGGCCTTGAGAGTCAAGAATAAGCATGTCGCCAGCTTCAAGTTCCGGCGTGAGCACAGGCAGCCGATGGGACTGTAGCAGTGAGCCGGCCTGCTGCAGTGGAGCCGTGTTGACCAGCTTCGAGATGACCTTCGAGGCCTGTTGCGTGCAACACAGGTGTACTACTGGTCCGGGCACAAAATGACAACATCGAAGTCGTTTCTAGACTGTGCTTCTTCATGTATCGTGTCCGACATACCCTGGTCCCGCAACAAAGGCGGATAAGGCCTCACGGATAGAGTTCATAATGGAGTCCAGGTCAGAATCGATGATGCCACGGTTGGCCAGCTCTATGCAGTAGCCTCAGCGCAGCTTGCGAGATACACGTCCTATTGCCGGTAATTTGTAGCCGCTATGAAAAGAAACGGCTTCAATCCACCAGGAAGATGAATCCCCGAAGGCCCGAATCTTCGACACATACATGGAATACTATGTCTTAAGAACAATTTGAGAGGCCAGGAAACGGCTGAGGGTGACCCCAGTCTGCTCGCAAACCTCATCCATGTCGTCCGGGTTCACCCTGACAGCAGTCCTTGAAAGGCCGCCGCTCACAACTGAGGCTTAGCCACTAGAGCCTGCTTCCGGTGACGCTTTCCACATCTTTCCATACTGCAGTCAATGATGAGTCCTCTTCTTGGCCTGCCGACGTCACGGCAAGCAGAGCTGAAACAGTTGGAAACAAAAAGCTAAATCTCCCCAAAACGCCCGGAGACCAGGAGCCTCCCTGCGGGACCCCCCGCGCGCAGCTGCGGCGCCGACGGCTGCGGCTCCCAGAGCGGCTGTGGCCAGAGGAACGGCGCCGGGTGCCTCGCTCGCAGCAGTGCAGCGATCCGCACGCCATACTTCCGCACGCCCCTGTAGTATGTCCGTCGTATAGCCAGGACCAGGGACTGAGGTCGGCTTCGCTGAAGTCTGCGCGCCTCAGTTCACCACGGATCACAAACAAAAGGCATTGCCGCACAAGCCCCAACGTGACAGTTTCAGCTCGGTCACTGTGACCCTGCAACTGGGTGGGAACTGAAACCTTCAGCGGAAAAGCAGTCTGCCAAAGAAGCCGTTCATGCATTTTTGCGCAACTGGGTCTCGTACACCGGGAGCGGCAGTGAAAGCCATGGTTCCTGCAAAGTGTGCATCTGAGATCTACTTCTACCTCTCCTACTGTACCGAAAATATGTGGTTTGAGCACTCACCTGCCATCGCCGCTGCACCAGCAGCCGCCGTGGCTGCAAGAGCTGTGCTTCCAGGACCTCAGACTCAGAAAATGCTAGGCCTGCTAAGCTGTCCGTTTTCAGCGGGAGACATGCCATAAGTGTCGAAGGCCAATAACCAGAGCAGGATCCTCCTCGCCGGCTTCTTCGATTGTCGGGTGCTCACCGGTCGGCTGTCACCGGTGAAAGAACCGCCAGTGTGCTGTCTATTTCGGGGCCCATTCTGAACCCGCTGGACATCAACACGTGTAGTGAATTCGCGGATCGCCTCAGCAATCGTGGAGGAGCCAAGACCACTCGGCAGCATGACCGCCGTGTTCTCATGTCCCATCAACTCCTCCTTCTCCACTCTCCTCTGTAAAAGTTGTCAGCGATTGTCCTTCTGCAGGCTCTCTCGAGCGTGCTGCGTTTGCCAAAAGAGCCGTTCGAATGATCGGGAAGATGCTCTGACCCAGAAACTTCTCCGCCAATGAAGAGCCAGTGGAAATCTGGATGATGCCGCTGTGGAAGCTTTCGGAAGTAGTCCTGCGTGGGATGTAGCTTCAGCACAACTTCTTCAGAAGAACCTAGAGCCCAACCCAGAAAAGCAGTGCGACATCTGCACCGCACAGAGGCCATGCATGCTTGTTGTGCGTACCACCCTCAGAAATTCAACTTGTGACCGAACACCCGGCCCCTCGCTCTGCGAACAGGCACGATGTCTTGATAAGAGTCGGCACCGGGCCTGAAATGCTACATCATGGAAGTCACCATGCCGCCACAAGTCATTCGAAAGCCACGGCGCGTCTCGTTCGTAGCACCATCCGCCTGAATGCAGCTAGTTCTTAGAGAACCCTTCCGGCCTAACCTGACATCAACAATATGCGCAGTAACTTGCCATCCCAGGCACGTAGGTATGGCAGTGCGCAAGGACCCCCGGAATCTATCGGTTCTCCACGTCGTAACAATGCCAGGTAGTCTTTCAGTAGATGCCTACGCTTCCGGCCGGCTGGAAGGTGAGAAGATGATTGGCTTTAAACAATGCCACGAAAGATTCAAGGCCTGCATTGCACTTGAGACACGGAATCTCCGTCAGACTGCAATGAAGAAAGATTTCTGCCGGAAGCTGCTGCTTCAATAGCACTGTCCGCTTCGAGCTTTCGACACCGACCAGACGTCCACTGGCATAAGCATACAGAATCATCGCACCATCAAAGGGCGGAAGTGCCGTAACTGGCTCTTCTCCATCTGGTCTCGGGCTATCTGCCGTGCTTTCGGTAGCTGGCTGAGTCACGTCCGCCAGTGCACCAAACCTCAATCGAAGGAGCAGCAGCGCATTCTGAAGAATGTTTTTCAAGCTCTGCCAAACCTGCCAGCCGATGCCACGGCCACGAGAAGCGGCGAATCCCATTGCTTTCTTGAATCATCCCTGCAGTGCAGTTGACCCCTACATAGGAGAGATGCAAAGTGCACGCGAGACAAAGACCACTTGACTTAGCTTCTACCTGCAACGACTTGACTCACGGATAGCTGCGGATGCTGTAGGCAGGCAATGCAGGCCCTCGCTCACATGCCTCCGGTTTCAGCATGGCTGCGAGATTGCGTCACGGCAAAGGAGCAGCCACAGTAAGCCTGCCGCTGCGCGGCATCTTTGTGGTCGATGCTTGAGGCCGTTCCGAATGTGACCAAAGCCGTGCAATGCTACGAGCCAAACAGCGCCGCCAAGGCTTTTCACGACTGTTGACGAAAGCACGTTGACACAGTGTCGTTGATTTTGGCCTGTCCAACCGTCGACTCGCAACTAGACCAGAGCTGCAATTAGAACAAGGGCTGACAAATCTTCCGCAGGCAGTCAAGTCCAGCTTCCATCACTGGGGCAGATTCGCCAGTCAGAGCCTCCCTGGAAGAATCCCACATCAACTCCCCCATGCTTGACTTGTTCATTCTTTCTCCCTGTGCATGGTTGCTTCAAGACTCAAAGAGAGTTGTCTGCGCTGGGAACTTGCGACTATTGACAAATGCCATGCCCACCCTCATTTCCTCTCATGGTGCCGCAAACGCATGTGCCGCCATATCTTTCGGCATCGCTTGCGCCTAGGCAGGTGCAAGGCTGTGCCATGCATTGAAGCCAGGATATCTGAGTTCTGAGTTAGCTCGACGGCCGAATACCATAGCCTGTGAAATGCACTCCTTTGTCCCATCCTGCCTCATTCAGAATCTCTTCGTAGCCTGCCCGACTTCTGCCCAAGAAGGCATACCTTCGAAGGAGTCGGGGTGGGCGTGCTCGTGTCGCATTGGGTCGATAATTCAGTCACATTGGGGGGATCCAGCCTGGCGCTTGCCAGCGCAACGGCCAAGATGTCAAAGACCAGGTTCGATGCAGCGAAGACCTGAAGAAACTCTAAGGATCTGATATGCCATGCTGACCTCCATTTGGTCGACTCGATAAGGAGAAGCAGGCATCCCAAGACCGTGGCAAGGAAATTTCTGAAAGCCATGGTGTGCAAGCTGTTCACCTCCGCACATGATTTGGTGATGAGTCAAACTTGCTTTATCTATGCCCAGCCATGCCGGGCCGCAATGCCGGGATGGTGCACCCTTCGTGTCCGAGACGCGCCTCCCCTCTAGGATCTCGGGACCACTTGAGGAAGATGGGATGCGGCCTCGACTGCCAGGCTACACCATGCTGGTCGTCCATGCACACTCTCGCAAAACTGTGATGGTGGTCGTCCTTTGCAGATCAACTACTCTGGCAAACACTGCGGCGTTTTCCGACGAACCGAAGGGCGCCTCTTTGGTTCCCTGTTACATTCAGCGGCACTGATCTCCGGTCAAGATCTTGACCACACACCGGGTGCAAACATCTGTCCGATGCTCTGCATCTCGCCGTCTGTCAGCACAAGACTCATCACCTTAAGGCCCATGGGAAAAAACCAAAGACTGCCGGGAAGACAGGATCTGGGCCATGCTGAGCACACAACCTGCAGGTCCTGCTGCATGTGGTCTGAGCTCCTTTGGCACATAAGCCGACAAAGAGCCACGCTAGCGGCTAGCAGGAGTGGAGCTGACCCACAGCGCTGATCCGAAGCAACTTGCTGGCCAGCTTCTTGGTTCCTGTCAGCGGCTGATGCCCTGACCTCGGTGCGGGCATCTAACTATGTACTTTGAGCTGCTAGTAATCCGGACACAAGTGGAGACAGTCAACAGACAAAGCTGAAAATTGAGAAACTCGAGGCCCAATCACCCGCCAATAATCGCGAAGGGAGGCCAACTTAACTTCTTGAAACGCCCTGCATAGCAAAACATCTGCATCCTTTCAAACGTAGAGCCTTAGGGCCAAGCTAGGTGCATGGACTCCAAACTCCGAGAGAGCATTTTGCATCGGTTTCAACATGACATGTCGGGAAAGGGGCAACCTCTGTTGTCAATTCTTCTTTCTGGCTAGTGCCCGGGGCCTCAAAGCGTGCGTCCCTCATGTTATGCACCCCTCGCCATGTCGCTGGATCAGCCATCTGAAGAGAATCTGCGCCGGAGTTGCGCGCAAGCGCTCAGCAGCAGACTGCACAGGTGGCGATGCCTCAGGACTCAGGCACGGCCACAGACTTGTTCAAAAGCTGCAAATCTGGTGACTGCAGTTCTCTTTTGTCGTCGTCATCACTCTTACCTGGTCCTACCTGCTCCCGGGGTACATGGCTGTAACTTCCAAGTCAAGCCGCTAAGACATGCGGGTTCGCAGTGAGTGTCCAAAAGCTTTGGTATGTGATGCCCCTTTCCAAGCAGAACTGGCGAAGCTCCAGGTCGTAGCCAGACTCCACATAGAACCGATTCTGCAACACTCTTGGCTTGATCCTGCCCAGCACGGCAGTGCACTCAGGTTCTATGCTGATACCAGAAACAGTCGTGCAGGAAGCCGCTGGGACAGGCCTCACGGCGTCGTAGATCCGACGGAAAGTTCGTGGGTCATAGCAATTGCCTTGAAACTTCTGACTTCACAAGTTAAACCAGAACATCGCCAACAGCTGCGCACAACAGCGCCGAGCAGAATCCAGCACAAGCAGCATAGGCCCACCGCATCCCACCGCTACATCTTCCAGCATCTGCCGAAATTCCAGTCGGGTTGCTGATGCCTAGCTGGCGCACTTTCCCCTGCTCTACGGCCTGAGCTCCAATCCAGGCTTGCAGGCAGCGAAGCCGAGTCGGAACAACACCGCGACTGCCGGCCGTGGCTGAGGCTCTGGCTCGCTCAAAGACACGCCACACCTGAAAACGTGGTTCGAAGTGCCCCGCGCCGTCCCGAGCTTTTCTGGGAAACCCTCTGCCTCGAGGTTCTCCTCCAGCGACGGCATGGGCGAGTGCATCACCTTTGGGCGCTGAGAGAACGCTCCGCTTGCACTTGGACTTGGGCCATTCATGGGCCGGGGGCCCCACTAGCGAGTCAATGTAGGCGGTGCCCAGGTTCTGCAACGACTTTTCTATGGACTGCTCCACTTGGGCAGCCAGCGGAGCCTCCACAGTTCTGCATCTTCTGAAATCAAAGCACAGCGCATTTCTAGCCGAAGATGTCCGAATGCTTGGAGCCCATGAACAGCAATCTACTTTGTATTAAATACTGCTAATATTAGAAGGGAAGGCGACAAGAAAATCGTTCTCAAGGAGCGCTCCGACTCCGACATGCCTTGCTGTCGTACGGAACTCGGCTCGGATCCTGCCCGCGCAGCGACGTGAACCTGGAAATGCATTGCTCAAGCAGAGGATTCTTCTGAAATGTTCGGTCGAGAGGCTTGGTCTGGATCCAGAGCGCCTCGCGTGGGAGCTGATCCTCCTTGGCGCAAGGGTTCTAGGGCATGCTGTCAAACCGAGCTCTGGTTGCGGGTGCGAGTGCCGCAACTGTCTCTACGTCCCGCTGAGGAAGTCTTCGGTACCGCGGCCGGCATGAAACCATTCAAGGCAGTGAAATTCTGAAAGGCGTCCATCTCCGGTATGGTGTAACAGTGTAACGCTCACGGACCCAGGTCACCAAGGGCAATCAAAGCTCTGCTTGAAGATCCGGAAGATCAGGACAACTTATCCGTACTCATGCCACAGTTCCCGATGGTGGGCCGCTGCCGCTGCTGTACCTTCTTGTTCCGACCATCTCATTGCAATGTGCCCGGCAGTGCTTGGCCCAGCCCTGCACTGCACTTCCTACAACCATACTAACCCTACCCCTGAAGCCTTGACGGCATGATGCAATCGTGTCCAGCACTTCCTCCGTGGCATAGGCATGCTCTTTCACCGTGCTACCAATTCACGCACAGCGTTAGCAAGCGTCAATGCACGACGGCCACTGGCCACTGACTGTAGAGGAGCTGTGATGCTAAGAATGCTGTCGAGCTCTTGAACTCGAGGCGCAGCAACATGTGATGATCAGGCTTTGCGCTTCCAAGGTCATGCTAAGATAGACTTGGTGCTGGATGGCAGGCAACACCAGGGTCCGCGAAAGCGCCGACGACCCAAAGCTAAATGACTTCATATGAACCGAACCAGGCCCAAGCCAAGTCTAATGTAACGCAAGCGGATGCGGATCGCCATTGATTTTGCATGCCTGGAGACAAGTCCCCAATGCAGCTGAACTTGAAAAGGAAACTCTCTCAGGCTGCCCTTGAACGCCTTCTGAGAACGCCAATGGGCACCACCCTTTAAAGCCTTTAGGAGTTAGGATTAGGGGGACCCTTGGGCATATAGACCCTCTCAGTAAGGTCCCTTTTGCGAGAGCCAAAAGTAGGGTTGAGAAGGGTCCTTTTAGGGGATCTCCCTAATGCTACCTAGGACCTTTAACTCATAAGCCGGGCTGTTGTTTTTTGAGCTCACGACAGTGACCTCAGTGACCTTATGACTGCAAGCCAAGTTCCTCTAAAAAGGAAAACACTAGTCTTGGACTCGAGACGTCCGTGCGCGCAGCTGCATCATCACCCCTTTGCCATCATGGGCCCATGCTGCATCCGAGAGTCTGCAGCAAGCTTGGCGAGTGCGGCTCCCACGAGATCCTCGCCTGGAATGGCGACCAAAATCCCACAAAGCACGCTGTTCTGAGTCAGGCTCAATGTTTCATGACTTTCCTGGTGCGGCTAGGGTGCGATAGTGCTTCGGCTGACATGCCGTGTCGATGCCACGAAATCCTGCCCTGGCTCTCAGAATGGAAGTGCTCTCAAGACACACCTTGCTAATCTGGTGTATTCCAGACTGTAAGACGCGATGGGCCTGTCCTGACTGCCTTGACCACAAGGTCAGTCGTCGCAGTCTCTTTCCAAGCAGTTCCGTACAAGTACGGCAGCTGCGAAAGGTCAGTGTCACCTCCTCGCAAAAACACGGGCTCAAAAACAAAACGGGTGGAGTTGTTTGTTCGCTCCCGTTGTTTTTGCTTTGCTGGTGAGGGGCCGGTTCCCTGCATTTCCGTAGGAAAACCTCTATTTTCGCTATACTTCATAGGAAAACTTCTATTTTCTCTATATTTCAACAGCTAAAGCCTTTATTATCTATATATTTGATTAGGAAAACATCTGTTTCTGAAGATTTCATGAAGCAAATAGACTTTCTCCACATTTTTAAAAATGTGCATCTCTATTTAATTCTTTTTTGCCTATATGTTCAAAGGAAACCTGTATTTTTACGACATTTTCAATTGACAACCTCTAATTTTCCGATATGTTCATGAGCGTGGGGGTTGCGGGGGGCGCAGCAAACACAATGATCTGGTTTTTAGAACGGAAACTCATATACTTTGAAGCAAACTTGCACAGCTTAAGACAGCGGTGGGGTTGGGGGCGCAGCCCCCCCCTCCATTTACAAACAGGATGCTCGTATGATAGGGTTCAGTCACACTCATGTGCTTTGAAACAAGCCTGATCGGCAGAAAAAAACACAGGGGTCTGGGAGCGGGGGGGGGGCAGCCCCTCCCATTTGCAAACACAATGCTCAAGTAATGGGTTTCAAAAGACTCTCATATGCTTCCAAGCTTTCCGTCAGGGTCTCATGCTGACAGAAATGACATCCACCTACCAAGCCCGAGGTTGTCGCCAGACTAGCTCTCTGCTTGCTGCCTGCTTCCGAAGCGCAATCAACAGGCTATCAGACAATCAGCACGTTCTTGCCCCGGGGGGTTCAATTGCGGGCCTGGCTCGAGCATTAGCATTGCACTGTTTTCACGGCCTTTGAGCTGGCCGTGACCATTCCGCTCGTCGTGACAGACGGATGCTCGGAAGCTGGTCCAATCGAGTGTAAGTTTGCATTTGCCGGCAACACTTTGCGGTCATGTGCTCCTTCGCTGTTGGCCTGTGCCTGCGTGCTCCGAGATCTCGATGCCATCACGCCGACAGCACCAGCGCCTTCCATTCAAGATTCACTCTTTCATGCCTTCTCGAAGTGGGGCAACTGGCCCAAGTTCTCTCGAAGATCGTCAGGGTGCGTTGCCCGCCTGCAGCAATCCAAGGCACAGGTCCTCGTGATGGTGGCCCAGCCTGGACTTTCGCGTCCCATGACGTGGCCAAATGGATCAGAGCTTCGTTGCAGCCGTGCGGCTGGGCGAGCAGTGGGAAAAAGGGCTGAGGCACGCGGCATGGAGACCAAAGGCAATGCCAATCGCTCGGTTGCAGTCGCCGCCACGGACAAACAGCGCATGGAGTCGGAAACGGCGGAAGCCTTATCGTCCTTTCTGTGCTGCAAAACCTAAGAAGCATAAAATATCATCCTCGCTTGGTGCCCGCGGATGGCAAGGCATGCTCGTTTTGTATATTTGATCATGTCAATTCACTGCGTGGTTTTTGCACCTCTGAGCCACACAGCTGCCCCCATCTTCCATGTGCAACACTTTGCAGTTTCGGCTTCTCGGGTTTGCTTTCGGGACTGTCTCCGCTTGTCACTCCTGCCGTCTGACCGTTTGTGGGCCCCTTCGAGGCCCGAGCGCCATGATGTCGTAAAGCGATGAGGCCTGAACATTTTCAACTCGCATGGTCACAACTCGCAAGTAATAAAAAACGTAGAAACTGGCGAGGATTCCGGCCAGGCCTGCTGCACTGCCAGTCTGTAGTACCTTTTGGGCATGGGCACCAAACTGTCATAGGCTCAGCCCGCAGTAACATGCATCAACAGGACAAGAGGCTCAAGGTCAGCTTCATTGACCTCGCGGAGGCCTGTGTGAGCCTTGCTTGAAGTGTAGCAAACTTCAGTCCCAAGGAAACACAGCTAAAGCGACGCGTCCTCAGCTACATGAGATCAATTTGGGTCTGAATTCTCAAGGTGCTCGTCGAGCGTGTGCACATGATGAAGCAGTGCCAATAACAGGTCGTTGGGCCTGGGTAGAGCCCCATGAACCACAGCGGAAGTCGGACGCACCGACGGAGCAGCAGTCCTTGCCTGGTCAGGATTCGGTAAACCGCGACTCTTCTTGTTGCAAACACGCCCCGGAAAACAATGCTGTGCAGCAAAACTCCCAACTGGAAGTGACTACTGGTGCTTCGCACAACTTGACCACAAGTTTCACTGCACACTTCGAAGCAAGCCCAAAAGAACAGCACAGCGACTCGGAATGTGTGAGTCTGGCCAATGGCCTATGGCCCAGAAGTCATACGTCTGTCGAAGAGGCGTAGAGACACCAGGGCCGACGATCGGAGCGACCTCAAGATGGTTTGAGCTATCTTGGAGTCTTAGAGGCAATAGGGCAGAAGGATCGCAGGCCAGCGAGCACTTTACTGGGAATTGCCGCATGTTCGTCAACTGGGCACCATGCACAATACAGGCTCCCTTTCCTCAGTCGAGGTCGGGCTTGCACTGCAGGACATGCTTTGACCATGGTTGAAGCGCACCGCGGATCGAAGTTTTGCGGGCTAGCAGTTCAGTCGATGTGACAAGGTTGCGTCGGATCAGCGGTGGATTACAGCACCTGAACCTGACTGCAGAGAAGATCATGCAAGTGAAACGGTACAGTCTGCCATCTGCATGGGCAGCTTCTCGGGGATGTTCTGAAGACACAGTTTGTCCATCTGCGTCTCCATCTGTGAAGAAGGCGATGGGATCGCTCTGGGAATGCAGCGGAGGGTCGGCGGCGGTCCTAAACCTCCTTCGGTGGCTCTGCAGGGGCCGCTTCTTCGCCGGCTTCTGCTCTTTGCTCTTCCACCGCTTCCGTGGCTTCGGCTTTTCCTTCTCCCTCCGCTTCCGCCGGGGACCCGGAGCCGGCCGCTTCCTCGGCTCCCGGAGCCGGCCCGCCCTCCTCCTCTTTTCCTTCTTCCTGCTGGGCCTGCTGCTTGTCCCAGTACTCCTGCTTCTTGGACGCAATCTCATCGGCGCGCTTCTTCTCGGCCTCCTCGCGAATCTTCTTCTCAATCTCTTCACGCTTCTTGCGCTCCTCCTCCTGTTTGGCCTTGCGGGCCTTCTCGGCTTCCGCCTTTGCCTGATCTTCACGGATGGAGTTCTCATCTTTTGTGAAGTAGATCTGGTACTTCTTGCCAGACTTCTTGCATCGCATGAGCTCATTCCATGCTTGGTAGCTGGTTTCAATTGGCACCCCATCGATCATGCTGATGCTCCATCCAGGCTTCACTCCGAGAAGCCGTGCTTGGCATGAGACGCGCTCCACCTCTGTGCTGCCCGTCTTCCACGTGAGTCCATGAGAGCCCATCGCGAACTCCATCTTGCAAATGCCTGGCTGCATTTCCACCATTGTGACGACGGTGAAGCCAGGCTGGCCAAGCGATTGCGAACCCCTCTAAGCCGAAATCTGCGATCTGCACATGCATGCCAAGTGTTGTTACATCACGGCTGCAACATAGAACCATACTGATATCAGCAGCGCCTGTACTTCAATGTTCAATGCGATGGCAGAAAATGAGCGTCATGAAACATATCCAAGTCACATGAAGTGCCATGTCCTGTCCGCATCGAACATGCTGCCCTGCTGGAAGGTCAGAACGCCTGCATCCATGACCTGGGACGAATTTGAGCTGGCAGGCATTCTCTCTCGTGGAAGCGCAAAGAGTCCGCAACATCTTCGCCAGACACGAGCGACGGGTTCCTCAGCACATGGCGCGAGACAGCAACCGAAAGAAAACAGCCTGAGGCAACAAATCCAAGAGCAGATCACTCCGGTGCCGTTTGGGCCTTTGGCGTCCTGGGCCGAAGGAGCAGGATCCATCTTGCGATCACTGTCAGATACTATCACTCTCTATCTGGTCTGGGAAGCACACACGCATCTCTTGAAGCGTGTAGTATGGATCCTCATACTCTCGCAAGTTGGACAACCTCGGATTCACCCCGAAAGTTCGCTGTGCCACGAGGTTGAGGCACTCCCCGTCTTCAAGCCGAAGGAGCCCTGCAAGGATGCCCCAAACGGCGCAGATGGCCGCCTGACAATCACAGCGGTCCTAGCATGCGCTGGGTCTTTGAGCAGTCTCTACTGCGATGCCCCTTGCATCTCGTCCTGAACCCTCTGACAAGCCCCGAGAGCCAGGCGAGGATGCTGAAAAACGTGAACCATGTTGGATCCTGACGATGACTTCACGTTGAAGAATGTGGTGTGCTGGCGCGCTGCCGCTTCGTACGCGTCAGACCTGAAATTCCTGTCTAAGAGCTCGGCAGGGTGATACTTGCGAGCGCAAAAAGCCACCGCCACGAAGACGAGCCAAATTACAAAGACCGCAGAGATACCTCAGGCAGCTCTGCAGGCTAACAGCACTCCATGGCCGGAGCCACTCTGCTCTGCTCTGCACATGTCTGTGGTCGGGGCATAGCCAGGCTATGAGTGGTGTCCTTGGCTGTGGGGGGCGGGAGCCGCATGACCGACTCTCGCAGCAGCTTCGGGAAATTCGTGCGAGGGATCCACTGTAACAGTTGCAGTAATGGGCACGCAAAGGGCCTCGAATACCAAGCCAGGGATCGCAGGGTCTTACCCGACCGCCCCATGTTTTTTGGACTATATGGGTGGGGGTCCAGGTTGGCCTTCTGAAGGAGAGGCCCCACCCGTACTCCATGCATCATATTAAGTCCTGCAAACCCTACCAATGAGTGGCTTGAAAGCCGTTTTCGAGCACACCGGGCGCCAAGGCCTGTTGGATGATACAACGATTAGGCGCCTGAATATTCTCGCTTGTCCGGGAGCCTATCCAGAAAACAGTGCTCATGTCTTCAGGGTTTTACGTAAGCCTCTCTCTCTCTGCAGGTTCTGGGGGCAAGTCTCTCTGCGGAAACTGAGCTCCCGGCTTGTACATCAAGTAGAAGGAGCTCAAGCAGAAGCAGTACACGAAGATCTCAGCAGTCAGAAAAATTCAAAACAAAGTACCCGTATACACTAGCAGCTACAAGCTCATTCCTTCCCCTTGCAGAATTGGAAACGACAGAATGATGTGAAGTGGCTTCCCTGCCAAGCAGAAAGAGGCATCATCTGTCTGCTTCCAACCGCAACTTCGGAGCTGCCCAGGGGATAAACACGTTCAAGAACATCGGCAAGATGTTCATCCGCCTCGCTGGCTCTGCTGAAATCTAGCAAATGCCTGGTGCCTGACAGGACGAAGGCTCCAGCAGAAGGCTGAGGCGGAAGCATCCGATGGCCGGGAGAGAAGAGCGCGGGCGGCTTCTGACACCAACCGCGCAGTGTGGACACGTGGACACATCGCATGCGGACACATGGCCATCGGCCTTGAGGAGTGGGGTAACCTCTGCCTCATTGCCTCGCTCTCCATACCTTGCTGGCACAAAGCTATGGTGCAGCCTCCTGCAACAGGCACTGAGCCCTGCGCATGATTTCTTGAATATAGGAAGGCCTGTCGCGTCAACCGGCAAGAATTGATTTTTTGGGGTGTGGAAAGTGCCACGACCACTTGTGCTCTTTCGGAGCGTCAACTCTATGCCGACAGCTGCCCTCTTCACAAGCTCGCAAACTGGAAAGACTCGTGTACCACGGCAACCAGGCACGGCCTGCCTGCCAGCGCCAGGGCTGGTCAGGCAAGGGTTTCACTAGCAGAAGTTTTCGGAGCCCAAGGGCTGAAGGTGTTGTGATGCTCCCAAAAACCTATAGCGCCCCCGTCATCGCCTCCGTGGCGGTACACCACTTAGTGCAACTAATTCGCGGTGACTTGGCTCAAGCACACCTTTCATGCATACTTCAAGACTATGGGAGGAGATGCGGCCGCCGACTCGCGGGAATCTGCACTCAGAACTCCCGCACAATCATTTTCCTGTTGCCACGAGAGCAGCCAGTCTTTGTACACGAGAGGCTCTCCCTCATGCAACAAGTTGGAGCCATGCACAAAACAGCCGCGTGGACTGCTGCAACTGCTGGTATGGCTACGACCATAGCGTCCTCTTCAGGCGCACCTGCAACGATGATGTTGCCTTCCCAGCAGCCGATAGCCCCACGTAAGAACAGCATAGTCAAGATAACAAATGGGTTCGACCGGCAAGCAGTTTCTGCTCGCTCAATCTGCCAGGGCCTCTCAACATCAATCGTTTGCGTGCCTACGTCAAGACAGAGACTAGAAGGCATACGCTACAAGTCGATGATCAAGTTTGTTCCGGTTCTGAGAATCGGATTCGGGGTCTGTCGCAGGGTTCACCCAGGAACCCCACAACTTGTAGACGGCTGTACCACAAAATGTTCCTCGCAATGTTGAGAGGCCATGGGACATGTGCTTCCGTCTCTAGTTGTTTAGGACGACATCTGTGCGCGACTCCCCCACAAAAAGCAGAAGCCCGCAGCATGAGGCACGAAAGGCAAAGTCCCAGCTGTTGTTATGTGGAGCTGACGAAGCATCAACAAATAAAGTATCGAGCCGGGTGAGCAATGTGCTGTTCGCCAGATACTGTATCTCACGCGGGATCAAAGGGGTTGTCGTCATAACACTTGCTGTTCCAGCTTGTTTGCGCTGACCTCGGCTCGTTGGCATGGGTCCTGCAGCCTTGAAGGACGGACATCTGCAGGTGACCGTTTGATGACTACGATGTGTTTAGTATTAAAGTTACTAAAGGCTGCAGCGCTCAGGCAAGTCACGCTTGCCGAGGGCTGAGAAGGACAGGAGACAGAGGCCTTCACATTTGATGGGGCTGCTGGGCTGCCCCAATCAGCAACTTCTGTCCGTGCCCTTGCCCTGCCGTCGCCGCGGAAACAAGCTCCCCAAGTGCCATGAGCAGGCACCACCCTGTTTTCAATTGTAGAACCAAGCCAAGGACTGTCATGGAGGTATGCCGAGTGGTGGGGTAGGGGGATGCTACACGACAGCAGCTAACCACCTGCATCATGCAACGGGAGGCAACTACACAGAATGCACTCGGTAACTCTGCATAGCTGTCAAGCAGTTTGTGTCCTTCGCTCCTTGGAGAGGCGCACGGCTCTCAAAATGCAGGCTCCCAAGCTCAATGCTTGCCGGACCTCAGGCTGGATTGCTCTCCGACCAAAGTTCGGACCGACCAGAAGATGCTGGACTGTCGGGACTTCCGACTTCGGACGGACTACTCTGACTGCTCTTCTGTCTATCCGTCTCTCGTCTGTTTCTTAAGACGGAGCGCTCGTCCAGATGATTCGTTCGTAGCGACAATTACACCGAGATTGTGGCAGCCAGTCACACACGAAGCTTGTTCATTGCCTTTCAATTCGTGGATAATAAGACAGGAAACCTCCCGCACACAATGCTCCGCAGCCTTCTGCGGTAGACACGATGGCATGCAATGCATGTTGTCCCCCCCGCGTGCCCTCCCACGGACCGTTTTACAGGCAACCCCTTCCGCAGGAGCAAGAAACTCCCTCACGTACTATGTTAACCTTGGACCTTGGAAGAGTGCTGAACAAGTGGCGCCTACGTAGTTTGGCTGGCTGAAGACGGTTCAAGTACATGTCTCGATCACGCGATGTAGTACTTCTCATATGCAGTGGCTGACTTAACTTCTTTGTTGCAATCGCCTTCTTCGGCCCTTCCCGAGACCCGTCCCGGAGATTTTCTGGGTTCTAGATGGAGTGAAAGCCTCATGTCCAGTTCTGGTCTTCCCTGAAGAGACAGCAAAAACAGCTGCTCATGCACGACAAACTCGTTACATCGCTACATCATATAAAGTCGTCGTGAAAATTCCCTAACTCATCATAAGAATTCTACAAAGGAGCATTTGGCTCTTTGGGTCCCTCCCACACTCTCTCTCTCTCTCTCTCTCGCTCCGTCCCTTTCTCCGTCTTGCTGCTGTAAACAGCCCCTGCATGGTAGGCCACACACGTTGAGTGAGATTTCACTTCGCATTTGGGCGCAGTGCCAATGCTTCCATCCTCAAAAAAGTTGTGCATGGACATCACACTCGATTCAGTGCAGCTACCGGCACTCTCGCCGGGCCAACAGTTGTGTGTCGGCCGCATGCTCTGCTGCGGACCAGCCGTGTTGCCATGCACTTCTCCACATTTTTCTTCAGCGCATTCACTGCCTCAGGCAAGGTGCGCAAGGTCGCCAAGGGAAGGAACGGCAGCCATACGCAACCAGGACTACTGGCACTTGCATGCAATTCTCAGCTTCACGCTTGAGTGTCATCATAATTGGAAAACCACACCTGCCAAACTCTTCGTCACCTGCTTTTTGCACGTTTCTGTCCGACGCCTCGAGTCGGATGACACCTGCGGCCCTGGGCCCGGAGAGTTTGTCCACCTCGGTGAGCGTGGCTGCACAACCGGACCAGCCACGCAGAATCTCATGAACATAGTTAGCACTGTGCTACGGGAACTCGTATGGCAACAGTCCCATGTATTTACCTGTTGCGCTTCTGAGATGCCGCCTGGCATCACCCGGTCTGGAACTGAGCAGGCCTATATACTCTTGGGCTCCCGTGGCCACTGGGTATTGGAGATCGAACTGGGACAGCCACCAATCGCAGCCCAGTGATCATATTGGCAGGTTCGATCGTAGCCCCGATCATGCCCAGCACAAGGTTGTTCCTTGGAGTTACAACGGAGCAGAAGCTCCACAGCGCGGTCAAGGCTCGGCGGTGAGTTGCCGGCCAATACTCATCCACCTGCCGATGCTGAACTTCAAGTCTTAGTGAAGGCTTTTGCATGCTAGATTGCAGGGCCCGTGTAATCCGGCACAATTACTGCCTGACCACCACCAATTTGCGGCTTCAGTTGGAACTGGAAATGTCCTCCTGCTGCATTCGTCTTGTCCTTCCAATCTTGGGCTTGCTACAACTGCTGCCTGTTGCTTGTCGCTTTGACACAGCTGGTGAGAAAGGACGCCCGCTGGAAAGCCCAGAGCTCCCTAGAAACCGTCCTCCCATTCAGGTCGAATGTTTTCTCGAAAAATCATCACCGCATCGATGACATGCAGCCTTGTTTTGGAATGAGCGGCATTGCACTTCGCAGTCTTAGAGTGTTAGTCTGTGCCAACCACACAAAGAACGTTCCGTGAGTCTAAGCACGGCTGCATGGACGACCTGACTGGGACTGGGCGTTCAGACCCATCTGGCTGCTCGCGAACCATTCGCTTCTGCTCCAAGAGCTCCGATGGCTGCGGCCTCGTTCCAGCAAAGAGACGGCTCAGTCTGGTTTCCAAAGCGGCCGTAAGCCACAGGCATGTGATTCCACAACTTCCAGAAGGTCTGGACCTGGAAATGCCCGACTGCAAAGTGTAGCATTCGCAGAACATCCCACAACCTCCAACAATCACCCTGCTCAGCCCCCTCAAGGCCGTTCGAAATGACCCAGAGTCTGCAACGATTGGAATCACAGGGTCTCGTACCGTCGCGAAGCTGGCCACCTCGTGACTGCTCCCACCGATGCTAAACACATCTCACGGCTTTTCGCACTTTGCCCTACCTAACGGCAAGGCTACTGTCGACCGCTCCGGACACAAATACAGCACATGCTGGCCTTGTGGGTGGCATCTGAGTACGCAGAGGTTTTGTCCGTGGACTGCATGATCCTGTCATGTAGCGATTCGACCACAAAACAAGTCACAAGCATGCGTTGCTTGATCTGCCACAATGGTATGTTGCCAAGACTCTGCTCCCAGATTGACCAAGTGTACCGCAAAGGCAAATCCTCGAGATGTCAATTGCACCAGAGCATGCGAAACACCCATGCAAATCGACCCGTGCACGCCTTCTTGAGCATGTCGTCATTCTCATCAGTCCCATCTGTGGTAAACTTCAGATTTGTGTTGAAGCCTTGCCGAGTCATGGTCACGGTCTGTCATGATACGAGCGGTTCCGAAACGTGGGCTGTCCTCATTGTCTACTGGCTTCATGCTTTGCCAAAAGAGCATGATCTGCTGAGATCCCAACGTTTAGCTTGACGCTACAAGTGAAGCAACTGCAAAGATGGCAAGCACAGGCTAGGCTGTAGCTGCAAAACACAACTGGGGCCATCTGGCTCACTTCCATGCTGGGGCCAACGCTTTCGTTGAAGCTCAAATATGCCATACCTGCCCAAGCGAGCACATGCTAGTAGCAACAAGGCCCCTCACTTCTGCAGGCAGGCTGATGTCTCGGCTTCTTTTCCTATAGCTCGAAAGCAACCATTGCACGTGAGCGCCAGCAAGTGCAGCACACTCATCTCTGTGAGGCTGCATACACTGCGAGCGGGGCTGTCGCAGTTGGGGATGCAGTCGTGTCTCCGTAACGAACTTCGGGCAAGGAGTCTCGTCAAGCTTGACGTGACTCCATCCACATCACGTGCGCGGCCACTTCCAATCCCATCTTCTAGCTCGTGCACATCTCGGGTGGGTTTCCAGAAAGGCAGGCCTGGCAACCCCCAGCACCGTGCCGAAAGGATCACCGTCCAGTCTCAACGGCCCCTTTGTGAGACATTGCCGATAATTCATGAGCCAAAACTCCTTGCAACACTAGAGGCATCTTCACCTGACTCAGGCTCACGGGCGGCATGTGTGCAGTCGACATCGAGCTGGCGAAACGCTGACGGACAAGCCGGAATGCGCCTCGCGGTGCGCGGTGCAAGACAGGCACTTCCAGGCGACCCGCCTCGCGAAGGGCCCTGTATCCTGCGCTTTCTGATCGTAGAGCTGCATCCCAATCGAGCACATCCCTTTGCGAGACTTCTTGGCCCAAGTCTTCTTCAATGCAGAGCTGCAGCGAAGGCGGCGAGAATGCACTTTCCTGGAGCTGCAGGAGCACGGCTGCACGAACCTTTTCTGCTATAGCCGTCTTTGCTAGTGAGCGCATGAAGACGAAGTCCTGAGCACAAGCACTTTCATCACTGCGCTCGGAAGCAGCATCGGAAGAGTGACCACAAAAACTACTGTAATTCAGCTGAGGCTGGCGACCGGAAGCTGCCCATCTGGCAAGGGGAGGTACTTGCCAGTACGACCCTCCAGTGATACCAAAGGCATCTGCCCCAGCTTGCCTGGCAGTCAGCCAGGTTTCTTGGCTTTTGTTGCCACGGAGCTTATACGAGGCCTAGCAGTTTAGCGAATGCTAACCAGCTCGGCAAGCTACCGACCACTCTCACCACATCGCCCATCCTGTAGCGGCAGAGGCCGCCACGGGTTGTTACCAGAATCTCGTAAGCATGCCCGACCTCAACCTCCCATGCTCGCAGGGTTGCGTGTTCATGGGCATTGTGGGATCCGGAATCTCGCAGCTGCAGAAACTCGAATACCATGCTTCCTGCATCCAGGAGGTATTCGGGCACCCCGTCTTGGGAAGGACAAATGTTAATTCCCAGCAGCCCTTCCGTTGAGGCGTAGAACGGCGAGTAAATCGGAACTCCGCCCAGCAGTCGTCTCAACCTCACCGTAGCTGCTTCGAAGTTGCCTCCGGTGACTGTTATCACCAGCTTCATCCGGGGCCAAAGCAGGGGAACGGCGAAAGCGTGTCCAAGAAGTTCGCGGACTTCGTTTGCTCTGTCGGGATCTGGACCTCCCAAAGCTGTGTTCAGCGCAGCCTCGGCTGTCTCCGTCTTGGGATCCTCCGGCCTCTGGCCGCTCCAAATCCTTCCCGCCTCTATGTCAGATGTCAAGCTCCAGCCGTGGTCTTGTATGAAGTCCAGCAGATCACAGATGTTCGTTGCAAAATTCGCTTCCAACGTGCCCAAATTACGATCCTTCAGTGCAAACAGAGCATGGGCATACATGGCATCAGCTTCATTCATGATGTCGTAGGCCGCCCGAGGGCTCGAGTATGCGCAGAGCAAGCGGCCAAAGTTTCTACCTGGGTGCTGCACACTGCGTGGAGGTGGGAGCGTGAGGGCCGGGCGGGCTGCATCGGGCTGCAAGATCCCTCTCGACTTCGCTGAATCTCGCCTGGGTGCTGTCGGGCGCACGCTTGCAGCCGACAGCCAAGCCAGACTCCAAGTGGTGGATGCTTGCTCTGAATGCCAGCTTCAGATTGCGCTGCAGGCTCGCAGACCTGAAGAGCAGAATCGATCAACCGAGACAAGCAGAATCAGCAAAACTATGACCGGACTATATAGCCCCTTGCTTGTCTACGAATGCCCCAAACACGAGACTTGCACATTTCCTGTCTAAGTCCCGTCTCCCAGCTTCTCCAAGACACATCTCTGGGAAGCTTTTGTAAATGACCGCCAGAGCCACGCTGCCGCCGCGACCTCGGAGACGCAGCGCAACAATACCGGAGCCGCAGTTCACGAGTGCGCCTCGAAGCAAACAAAAAAATCCTTCTCTGGCCGAAGACGCGGGCAAAAGTCTGGCCAATATCTGGCACGTCCGGCAGAAGCTTTGGAGCACCAGCCGTTGCCTCAACCCGAGTCAACTAAAATGGCCACACATTCACGAAGCATCCACCCTATACGCTATGCAGCCTCTCGCCTGTGCGGATCCAAACAAGCAATCAATCGGCTGCCATCACAGCACAGTAGGAGCTACTTTGCCTAAGGAAGCAATCTCGCCTGCCCTCCCCCACTGCCACAGAATACAGTCTGCTCAAGTCGGAACCACAGTGTCGGAAGTCATAGCCAGCAAATGTGGCCGGCCTGCGGCCAGGACGTTGGCTTCACCGGCCTGAATACGCGAGATATACGGCTCGTAGTACGAGAAGTTGGTGATAGGATGCTGACGGCGGAAGGAGTCCCAGCAGCTGACGTTCTGCAAACCTTCCGCCCGACCGTACTCGGTGGACTGATGCCTGAGCAGCAGTTTCTGCAGCAACCGTGTCTGGACTGCCGCACCGTCCGCAGAATCAGAGAGCAGCTGATGCTGCTGGAGCAGTCCACGGCATCTCAACGATGTGAAAAGCACCTTGTTATACTCACGGGATGGCTGGGGCTTGTGGTCCCCTGATTTATATGTCCTTGGCACAGCTTAGTTCAAGCAACAAAAACTTTGCAATGGCGATCTGCATCCAAGCAAAGCAACGTGTTGCTGCACCGCTGTTAACCAGGTGTGCCGTTCTGACCACTCTTTCGATCTCACCTGCCACAATGTAACGCCTGCCGCCATTGAAGCCACAGCGGCTGCATTTCTCCAACCCTCCATGTGAACTGAGCATGGTCAGCTAGCCTTGACACGCAAGTAAGGTTTGATCCAGATTCTGCTTCAGTTCACATCAAACAACTTCTGCAAGTCCTAGCGGTGTAAGGCCCAGCAACCAAGACTTTTGTCAGACCTCCCTCGTATTTTTCGGACACAACTAGCAATCAGACGCAGGACCACAAGCTTCTCTACCATGGCATTGAGCAGCCTCAAGCTGCGAGCCACATGCGTTGCCCAAGAATTGGTCTTGGCTGTGAAAATCCAGCAGCGGCCCAACTTTTGGTCGGGCCCTGGAGAATGCCACCGTCTCGCAACTTAAATAAACCGGTTGGCATCCTCACCGCTACTGGCTCATTCCGCCCGGCATCACACAGCAAGCAGAAAGTGTGTTCTGGCCAGGTTTGTTCCGGACTCTGTCAACCCACTCGTTGCTTCGTAGCCCGCCCTGCAGCGATGCATATTGAAGACTGACCAGGCAGCACTCGAACGAGTTTACAGTCTCTCTCAAAGAGCTCAACTCCTGAGCTCCTTAAGGAATGAGCCGGCTCAGGAGATTGCACATGTTCGGTGGGGAAGCAAAGTATCAAGCGAAGCAAGTAAAGTGGTCAGAGGCAACACCTGATTCTCCCGAAGTGATTCGCCGGCAGGACGATTATCCTGCCAGATCATGAGTGAAACATCTCGGCTGTGTGCCTGCAGTGCAATTCGGAGAAGGAAGGCGGAAGCCATAGATTCTTTTCGACGTCAGTACCTGCAACTACCTTAAATTAAAGCACCGCTAAAAGTAAAGTTCCGTCACAGCGCTGGCACATTGAGCGCTGGCACCCTGCTCATCATGGATCTGGCATGTTGGCCTCAGGATGATGGGCTTTGGATACTAGAGTGGACTACAACTGAAATCTGAAGCTGGCGAAATCATGCTTTTCTGAATGGTCTTGCGACAAATCGATATCTCTGAGCTTAGTGTCGTCATCCACTTTAGCAGCCAAGTCATCGTTGATCCTCTTGAGCTCCTGCACAGGCGCACAGGCAATGTCGAATAGTGTCGCTGAATGCCGCTGCGCCCTGTGTGCCGCCGCTTCTCGAGCTCAATGAGACCGGCGCCTCCATCTCACGCGTCAGCCGATCAACGGTCGAGCGCAGCGATTGACTCTCCTCCCTCATCCTGCCAACTTGAGCCTGGCACTGGGCACTGCTCTGCCAGCACGGCATTCGCACACTGGACTCCGATAACTCGGCCTGCAGGCCGGGCAGATCTCCTTCCCGCGGAAGCATCGCGAGTGCCTGCTCCTCGGTCCTTGCGTCGTAAAGTGAGCTCATGACTGTGACTACGACAGAGAAACCTCGCCGAGACTCATTTCTGGCTGTTGCTGTTGCAGGGCGGCAGCTGCCTGGCATGCGTTATTGGGCAGTGTTGGCAGGGTGTTGCCTCGCCCGCGGACGCAATCGAAATCTGCCGAACGTTCATTCGCTATAAACTATAAACCGGCACAGCACACATTCAGGACAATGCCACGGATTCCATCTTTGACAAGCGTATCAGCAAGCCCAATATCGTCAAGACCAATCCTCAAGCAATGAAGCTCAGTTTGCAACTCGACACATATCTCTGCATCAACTTGATTGATTTCGTGCCATGTCGGGCCAAAGGCAAAGATGAGATCCAAGACGACTGACTACAAGAGAGAACTCTTCCAGAACAGCTAGACGCTCCAACGTGAATCAACCACAAAGGGAAGGCCTGGGGCGAAAGTAAGTATGCATCTCTCCTGCGAGAGCTCGAAAAGATCCGGACCACACCCCCCAGGCATCTATGGCCTGATTCCCGACCACACCCTGGGGCCCAATGCGAATCAACCAAATTTGGACTGCCATCTCGCCCCCAACTTTAACAAAGCTAGTGACAAAGACGAACTACAGCTGAGCTATCAGCTACTGCCTTAGCACAACACTTGACTACTTTTCAAGTGTTCAGCGCCGACCTGTCGTCGATGTGGGCTTCCGGCCTGGAAAGATGCGACAGGCTGCTCTGAGACCATTACGCTCGCTCATTTCAGCTGCAGCCCTCCCTTACTGTAAGTTGCGCGGCAAGATCAAGGCGCTGCGCCAAACGAAGGTTCGCCTGCTGCAGCTCCTGAAGGCTGAAACGCAAAGTGCCATGGGGACGTCATGGGACGTCGACCCACATGCCGTGGGCGTGTCTTGCCCAGGTAAGTTATTGCTAGATACTCAGCATGAGCCCATGACTGTAATTGCCCGGTTCCGCCTACCCTCCCCCACTTGTCATTGTGTGGGGCTTGCCTGGCCCAGAGCCATTGCCTGACATCTTTGATTGTGCCAGCTTTACCACTGTTGTGTACACCTGTGTTCGTGCACGCGATTTTGTCGTGCCCGTTCTGCTCACACAATCTCTCTAGCAGCTTCCGTTGTTGGACAGAGCACATGTTGGCCGAGGCTACTAAACATTGGCAGTCCTGCATCTCGGAAAAGAGCCTGTCCACTGTCAGCAGCAGCTCTCGGCCCTCTCTTCGAATCTCGTCGACTTCTACCTCCACATGTCGTAAAGGTTCCGCAAAGTCTTACAGTCATGCAGTGGCACAAGCAGTTTCAAGCATACAACAGGGTGTCGCGATGCTTTGCAAGTTGTCCACATGGTACAACTGTGCATCAATCCCCATCTTCAGAATTCTGGCCTGCAGTCCGGCCATTGCCTGCTCGCTTCCTCCTCGATTGACCCCACTTTCCACAAAGGAAATTATGTCACAGCGTCAAGCATGCCACCGTGCTAATGTCTCAAACAAAATTGGTCCTGCAGCTTCGGAGCGGGCATGCGCCGGGCTCTGACGCTCGACCGCAACCTGAACTGCCTGCAGGACAGATGGATCGAAGCCATCGGGAGGTCCAACGCAGATGGCAGTTTCAGTTGCGAAGAGGTGCCGACGTACTGCAGATAACAGCATGTGCGGTACAGCTGCACGGGCCTGCTCCAAGTTGCCCTTCTCTAGGGCAACCTCCAGAATATTGCGAAGTCGTCCACGCAGGCATTCTAGTTCCGACGCTGCCTGTACAGCGAGCAGCGAGTGCACCGAAGCTGCTAGCGGCTAATGGGCGGCCCCAACACAGCACATGAGCCTGCTCCATCCCGGGAGGTTGCTCGGCAACCTGCGAAGGACTTGAAACGCACAGTTCGCATCATTTCAAGCTCCCTCTTATTCCGCCTCGTCTGTTGACAGCTCCTCATTCGTTGCTGTGGCCTCAGCGGCAGCAGTCAGATCATGTAAAAGATTGTAAAAATAAATGCTCATTCTTGCGCCTCTTCACAAGTCTTCGTCGGAAATCACGAAAAGCAAGGTGCTCGGACGTGATTTTGAGCAGTGATCCGCGCGTTGGTCTCGATGAACGCATGTAATTGACATATTCAGAAGACGCGACTCTGAGCTGAAGTTCCACTCAACAGCGCCTGGGAGATCCAGCTGGCAGGCTGCAAATGGACAGTGAAGCCCCTTACGCAAAGTTTTGGTGTCACCTCACGCCAATGCGCGTAGGGCTGCCGTCGACAAGCCGAGATTCACTTCCGTCTGTGTGGCGCTTCACATCCAGTCGCAAGGACCTGTCCTGCAGGATACTGGTCTGCACTACCTAAGTCTGCCGTGAATTGTGCCGGTGGGTCCGTCGATTTCGCACGCCTGCACTGGTCTGGCTCTGGGCACAACATCACAAAGCACACCATGTGTGTAAAGGAACTCTAGCAATCTCCGTGTGGCAGCCAAAGTGCAGACGTCTTATGTGCACGTTCAACGGCAAACTCTGAAATGCAGTTTGAGTTAGCAGGCAGCGCTACGCCTCGAGGAAACAGCAAAATGACAGTGCAGTCCATTCATGTCCATTCCCACGTGGCCCTACGTGTTCATTGCACAGGCTTAGCGCGGCTATTGTGCAGCATCTCATCGTAGGATGGATTCGGTATTTGAGCGAAAGGCTGCGCACATGGGCTGCTTTCAGACCTGGATGTTCGTCGATTTCGAAAGCCTCCAATTCCACTGTCCAACTTTGGCGACAACTTTCATAGGTCTGAAAACAGGCCACGCAGCCGCTCGTACTTGTCTAGCATTTCCCATGTAGCAGGATGGGGTAGGGTAGGGTTCAGGCAGCACAGCTTCCATCCTACAGAGAGCTGGCGCCCCAACTCTGCACGTTCTCCGAGAAAGCGATAAACGAACAAGCTCCAAGTCCATACCAAAGCAATGTGAGTCAGAGTCGGGGCATGCATAAGCACAGGAACAAGGGCAGCACGCTCAGAAGTGCTGAACAGTGCATAGCAAGCTTACATGACCTCCACGCATCAGATGAAGTTGTTCTTCAAGCTCGGTGTCCTAGTACTCTTGGCTTTGGTTGGCGTCATGACCTTTGGGTTCTTAAGCTCTGCCTCACCCGTTTGCTCTTGAAAGTCGTACGGTCGGGTCAACTCGAGTCGTGTCATGCCCTTCCAGGACTGAGTCTCATCAGCTCCCCATAGGGTTATGACCACGTCTTTGCCGCTTGGGTCGATCTTGTACTTGCAACGATCCATGGCAAGGCAACCCGGAAGAGTGTTGGAGTGGGCTGTCCATGCATAGCCTTCGAAGTCGAGAGCTCGGATTGTGAAGCTCGTAGGTAAGAAGTCCACCTGGACATCGCGGAAGGCTGTTCCCAAGGGGCTGAAGTGCTGCGGTGTAATGCGAAGACGCACACGTCCCACATCCTTCGGCGAGGTCTTCTTGGAATCATCACTGGCCACACTGCTTGCCACACTGCGGGACTTTGCGGCAACCTTCTTCACGCTGATCATGTCTGTGTCTTTCATCATGAAGCTCAGCTTGGTTTTGTCTGTCTTGTCTGTCTTGTCCATCGTCTCGATCTTCTCTTCACCAAGGCCAAGGCTCTCATAGCGCTTCTCATGGAGCTTTTCTTGCTTGCCATAGAGGCAGCAGCTGGCTCGTGTCACAAGCCCTGGGCTAACTGGGGAGCATGGAATCGAGCTTCGTGAACCCCTTTTCGTCTTGATACTGCGTTTCCACTGCTTCGACTCCGAAGTTGAGCCATCACTCTGTCTGTCACTTGGCACACTTTGCATTTCAATGTCTGCTGTTCCGGCTGTCCCTGCATCTGTGGATACAGGTGACATAATCTCGATGGATTGACTGCCATGTCCAACCTGCTCATTTTGCTCTGGATTCTTGCGGTCTATGCTCGTGAGCAGCTGCAAGAACTCATGATGTGACTGCTCCAGCACTGCCTTCGCAGTGCTGTAGATGTGATTGGCAACCTCTCGTGCCTGAGTGAAATCTTGACTTGAAGGTTTGGCACCTGGGGCGTGCTGGTCTTCCATCTGCCCTGAGCTCTGAGTTTGAGAGGATTCCTCCATGGTCGCCTCCTCCTGATTCGACTGATTCTTTGCCGGGAGCGGCGACCCGTGCTCAAAGTCAGAACTGCCCGCTTTCGATTCAACTTCGCCTGCACCAAGGCAACAAGCAACAAGAGTCGACGCCATAAACACAATTCCCACGGAGCTGATTCTCTGCGAACAAGTTCGATACCAGAGAGGCTGCATCAAAAAAACACCGCACGTTTGCCAAGTACAACGATATGGCGAAGCTGAGGACTGCGGGCTAAGGGGGTTGAACATTCGTCTATGATGCTAGGCCACCTTCCCAGACGCTCAGCACTTTTCTACTGGACATGAAGTGTGATTGTGATGTCGCCGATGATTGTGATGGTGATAATGATGACAATGATGACAATGGTGGTGACGATGATGGTGGTGATGGTGACGGTGATGATGAGGATGCCCTATGCCTGTATGACTCCGGACATCGCGTAGAAGATCAGAAGCCGCTCGGGAACGAAACTGGTTTTCCCAAGCCCGCCAAAAAGCAGTGCTTATAGGGCCTGCGTCTTTGAACCATTCGGACATCTCCTCCAGCGCTTGGTCGAACTTTGGCGAGCATTGCCATGCCATTGGATTCACCTGCCAGGCACTGCTCCTGAATAACCTCAACGTTCCTTAAGCTTTGGAATTTTAGGCAAATGTGCTTCAACAGGAGCAGCGGCCTCGATGATCTCCGCTTCGACACTGAGGGATCTGGTGGCGACGGTCTAGCACCGGCTGGGTGCTGGAGCCATTCCCACTGCGGAAGAACGATCGAATCAAGGCCATTCCGGCATGCTACAGGTCCAGATGTCTTGTTTGCTCCCTTGCTGCCAAGCCGCCTCGGGCGCCACCTCTGGAGCTTTTCCGGCGGCTGCCTCACATCAATTTGTGAATCTACGATAAGCTTGCACCTCCTGGCACTGCCCGATGCCTCTGCTGGGAGTGGCTCGGCAGGGCTGCCATCGTCCTGTCGGCGATGACAAGGTGCAGTGCCGACACCCATACCCTGTATGAGCATGCGCCAGAGCGGTCCTTCTGAAGGGCCTTGAGTGTCTCTTCCAAGCGGCCACAGAGAGCCGCCTCAACACGAATGAGACCGAACCCGTCGAACTCAGCCAGGTCTCCTGCCTCTGCCAACACTCCCCGCAGCTTCACAGCCGTAGCTTCCACATCTGCACTTCGCTCGGGACCTGAAACACGGCGCCGCGCAACAGCAGGAGCTCGCATGCACGCGTCGCTGGCGAGGCCGAGGCCTTCCAGGCTGCGTGCAGAGGCCAAGGCTTCTGCCAGCTGCCCGCACCTGCAGTGCTTTCAGCGATCGCACCCGGCCCCTGCTCTCCCTCTGAACAACATGGCGTGGCTGTTCGTAGCTCTCTCGCGCCCTCTGGTGATACAAGTACCGTTCATCTCCAAGGCACTCTGCCGCATGTTGCAGAGCCTGCAGAGCGCGCTTTGCAGCCAACAGTGGGCCTAGCATCCAACCTCGTCCTGACTGTGTGCACCTATGCTATGCTGCGAGAATGTAGATTTGTCGTACAGACTATCGATGTGGGCCGCACTGTGTAATGGGCGGTGCAAGCAGACAGCGCATCATAACGAACCAATCTGACCTCACGCAAGTGGGCTTTCATGAGCTCCATCTCATGCGGTGGTTCCCCCTGTGGCGGAGCGGGGACCTGCAGATTGGAGACCAGGACAGGGCGGAACGTGCCTGAAGTGACATTGATCCTGCCTTGCCGGGCGGCTTCAGGATCCCGACTTTAGCCGCCAGCATGCCAGATTCTAAGGCTTCCTTCAAGAGCCTTCTGAACTTCGCCTCGCGATCCCACCGACAAAAATGCGAATGCCAGAGTCATCTGCCAAAATCCCTGGTCGCCCTCGCCTTGATGACCGCGATCTGGTCCGATGCAGCCGCATCGGAGGGCTGTGGTTCGCCGTAACTCCGAAGAGCATCCAAGGCAGCGGCCAATTTTCCAGAGTCGACGGCCTGGAGTCTGAGTAGGTCCGGCACTAACACGCGTTCCGATTCCTGCTTTTGGCAGTGGGTATCCAATCAGAACTTAGAAGATGCTTGCTGCCACGTGACATCTTCCACGACCGTGCAAAGGTTGCTGCGGACTGCCTCCAAATCATCTTTGGGGGCATTTTTCATCGTCTCCTCCTGCTCCTCTCGCAGCAATTGCAGGGCTTCCTCCAGCTTTCCAGTGTCTGACGCCTCTTCGAGAACTCCTCGCAGCTTTTCGCCCAAGGCTCCGAGGTCGTTCGGGCCTGGAATCCCGGGAGGTCGCTCCGCAGCCACGCTCTCGAGAAGCTTCTCCAACTCTTTTGCCAAGGTCCCAGTCTCGGCGGCCTTCATCATGATATCTTTCATCCTGCCCTTGATGGCGCTAAGCTCTTCGAGGGCGATTGAGTCGGCTGCAAGCACAAGCCCGTGTCGTTCAGCCGACTCGTTCATCGTCTCGCGAAGCCTGTCTTTTGTCTCTTTCACATCCCCCTTTTGCATGACCTGTCGCCGGACACGTGGCAGAGCTGCGTGGCTCGGGCGTCTCACACGATTAGGAATTTAGTCCACGCACAGGGCCTTCTCCAAACCCTGCTGCAGCAGCCCGTTCCTCAGGCCCTCCTGCATCTTCGCCTGGGCATTCACCTCACAAAGCAGGGGAAGTCAGAGGCTCTACTCACACGAGTAGAAAAGCGACAGAATTTGAGTTTCCCGACCAGTTCGTGCGTGGCATGTGGCACAGCCGCAGCAGCAGTCTTGGCTGGCCCTCCTTGCTAGGCACGCAAAGTCCTGGAATCATGCAATCACTTTGCCCCTCCTGCAGCTTCGGGCTGGCCCATGCGTTTCGTTTTCCTTGATCCGGGCAGGTAGCATGAGCATTGTCAAAACGGTTGACAGAAGTGATTCGTGCTTCTAAGCGACTCCAAAGCCTGTAGTACTGCACTAGGGTCAGCGTCGAAGAGCGCAGCCTTCATGCGCTGCTTCAGTTGTTCCATCTCCTGGGTATGTCACATCCACAAGACAGAAACCGCAGGACATGTTTGGGTCAAGAAGGGGAATCTGTGAGTCGCAGGCGGAAACCTCCTCCAAGGCCTTCTGCGCGCCGACTTCCTCGGCCTTCTCTGCTGACATCCTTAGCGCAAAACGCGTCCCACCAAGACTTCCGGGAGGGAGTTTAGCATCTCGCAGCTGACTTTCGAGCCGGCGGCTCTTGCAAGACTGCAAGCACTCTGCCGGACTCGTTGGCATCCAGGAGAAGACTCTTCCTAGGCTCGTGGTCAGCTCAGGCCAGCTCTTTCGGATGTGTCTGACCATACCCTTCAGAAAACGCCATGAAGTGGTGTGCACCCAGGTTCAGATTCGCTTTCAACTTCTCGATCTCCTTAGCGCATGTGATGACAGCCGTTCATGGGCCTCACTGCAAAACTCGCAGTCGGCTGTTTCGTTCAGGTGGCGCTCGCCTCCGTTGCCTCTGGCTTCTCTGGCCTGGAGATCCTGAGCTCAGCTCGGGGAGCTTTGGGACCGGCACAGAATAGCAGATTCGGGCTTTAGGGCCTTAGGGTCCAATGTGCGGGACATGGGGGTCACGGTTGCAAGTCCGCTTACGCAAACCGTGAAGCAGAAAACTTGCTCATGCGCACATGCGCTCAGCACTGAGCCCCTGAACAGCAACGCGGTATGAATCTACGAGCCCCCGCTTGATCATCTCCCTGCCGGACGGCTGTGCTAGAATGTCCAGCACTTGGCCAGACTCGTTCGCATCTAGCAGCACGTCTCGCAGATGGCCCTTCAGCTTGTCAAGATCCTTGGCTGGTTCGTCTCGCACGAGGTCGAATCAACAATGACTACTACCAGCATTCCCCGACAGTGATACACATCAAGGAAGTCTTGATGCAAGCCACTGCGACATCCTTCGTGTCCATTGTACGTTTGAGGGCCGCTTCCAGCTCGCCTGCTTTCTGTTGGGCATGTGGTGTGGGGGCTACTGTCCGCAGCCCGCAGGCCCGAGGCCCGTCCAACCGCAACAGATCCCTCTCTTTCTCTCGCTGTCTCGCTCCCTCCCTCTGGCAAACAGAAAAGCTTTCTCTTGGGCGCAGGTGTTTCAAGCGAATCCTTTCCTCGGAGGCCGAAATCAAAAAGCACGCCAGGCCTGTTTCGGCCGACTTCTCAAGCAGGGCCTGGATGCGGCTGCGGCTCTTGTCAACGCCGACAGCTGACAGAACCTTGGAAAGGCGGCCGGATTTAGATCGAAGGAAACCTGCCAGCAACAAAGAATGCAACAGCCATCATGCTGACGAAGAACACCGACAGCAACAAACCACCTGCTCTACTACTACTACCACCACCACCGCCACTCCTCCTCCTACTCCTCCTCCTCCTCCTCCTACTACTACTACTACGACTACTACTACTACTACTACTACTACTACTACTACTACAACGACGACTACTACTACTACTGCCACTATTACAACTACTACGACGACCACCACCACCACCACCACCACCACCACCACGACCTGCTTCTAAAACTATTATTACTACTATTACGACTACCACTGACCACCACCACTACTACTGCCACTCCTCCTCCTCCTCCTCCTCCTGCTGGTGCTTCTACTGCTAGCACTACTACTGCTACTGCTACTGCTACTACTACTACTACTACTACTACGACGACGACTACTACTACTACCACCACCATTACTGCTACTGCTACAACAACAACAACTACTACTACTACTACTACTACTGCTAC